CCATTTATTACAACTTGTGATCCGTTTATTTGGCAATCGCCAATGGCAGTCAGCAGGATTTAAGAACATTTGTTGTTCGACCTGTTAGTCAAATGCGTTTTGTTAAAATATACTTTTTTACTTTTTTAGTCTTTTGGAAAATGTTGTTTGTGCTGTATTTAGACCCCTTTTACAAGAAATTTGTTTCGCATGTACACATACAAATTGCGGTTTTTATCCAACGCAATCATAGGTTTGAACGTTGTTTTCAATTTAGACTTGTTTATATTTTTTTGTTTGGGCTTGTATTATATTTGCCTTCAGGTTTATATGATCCGTTCATCCTATTTTGACTCCTCAAAATTCAAGAGTATATTCTTAATTGAGGTAAATGATGTGGCCTTCCAATAACCGTTTCGATTCCTAACATCACTGAAGAGACATTAATTGTCGATATCCGGATATGGTGTACAAAAAATCTTTGCACCTTTGTTTGCGGTATATCATCTTTGCCGCAAGTTTATTGTTTTCTGTTTGGTATTAAATTTATAGTTAAGATCCATTTATTACAACTTGTGATCCGTTTATTTGGCAATCGCCAGTGGCAGTCAGCAGGATTTAAGAACATTTGTTGTTCGACCTGTTAGTCAAATGCGTTTTGTTAAAATATATATATATATATATATGTATAAAACTATACTCGCATCCATGGACGTGTCTTCTTTATGTATAAATATCCACAAGACGAAGGAATAGCAGCGTGTGAAGAGGTATAGAACAATCGGAATGACAAAAATCCTCCAAATGAGTGCCTTGTTACATTTCTAAAACTAATGCTGGACATCAACAACTTGGCTTTCAATGACAAACACTTTCTACAGATAGCCCCGTCATATGCCAACATATTTATGGGCCAACTTGAAAAACGCCTCTTGGCTTGTGTTTCATACCAGCCATTATCATGATTTCGATTTATTAGTGATATTGATTTTAAATTGACAGATTCACAAGACCATCTGAATGCATTTCTTGAACACTGTAACTCTTTCCACCATTCAATTAAATTTACACACGAAACATCAATGGAGAAACTTAACTTTCTTGATGCTACGAGTTACATGAACGGAACCATGTTAACCGATCTCCATACAAAGAAAACAGACAAACATCAATTTCCCTCTCCAAAATGTTGCCATCCGAAACACTGCTCCCGTGGTATCCATTTCAGCCAGGCATTGCGAATCAAGAAAATATGCTCAACTGAAAATAAGCAGCATGCTAGACCTGGACAACTACGTAAACATCTAGTTGTTCGAGGATACAATAATAACAGTATTGATACAGCTTTCGAAAAAGCAAACACAATTAACCGCAAAGAACTTCTGGAGTACAAGGATAAGAACAAAGGCGCCAACAGAACACCTCTTGTACTCATTTATCATCCTGATTTTAAAAATGTGTCATCCATTGTTCGAAAGCATTGGAACATTATAGAAAATGACTCCAATTTGAAAAAAAATATTTTCTTCACCACCAGTCATGGCCTTCAGAAGACCTAAACATATCCGTGACAAATTAGTGACAGCTGTATTAACAAAGCAACCTCCTCCACCTCCTGGTTGCTGCAAACAATGTAGGAGAAGAAATTGTTTATGCTGTAAAGTTGCCAATACTAGCAGTTCTTTCACCAGCTCCTTCGAAAAACAAAGTTAGACCATCTACGTAAATTACAACTGAAAAACGGAGAACTCAATTTATGAAATAACATGTAACACCTGTGGCATTCAGTACGTGGGAGAAACAATGCACAAGTTTAATATTCGGCCAAATAACCATTGATCACGGTACAAAACCAACAAAAACTGTCCTCTCACCAGACATCTTCGCTCAAAGAAACATCCTTTTGATAATGTTACTTTTCAAATCATATAAGTGAACACTGAGTGGGATACCACGGCGAGAAGGAGAAGAGAAAACTTTTGGATCCACCAGCTCCATTCTTTAGAACCTGATGGTCTAAATGAAAAAGACGAGAAAAGATACAGGAAAGAATAATTTATTATGTAGCATCGTCCTTAACATCTCTGTAATATTGGCCTATGAACGTTGCAAACTTACCTTACTTAAACCATAAATAATCTTGAACTTCATTTAAATTTTTAATTTATTTATAAGCAGTAAAAATTCACTGTACAATGAATTGCAAAAGTTTCTTATCTGCATCCGATTTCACCTGGATAGATGCACGCTTGTTGAAGATAGATTGTCCTGCCATCATATAAACCCGAAGGCAAATATAATAGAAGCCCAAAGGAATAGAATATAAACAAGTCTAAATTGAAAACAACGTTCAAACCTATGATTGCGTTGGATAAAAACCGCAATTTTTATACGTGTGCATGCAACACAAGTTTCTTGGTAGAGGGGTCTAAATACAGCACAAACAACATTTTCCAAACGACCAAAAAAGTGAAAAAGTATATTTTAACAAAACGCATTTGACTAGCAGGTCGAACAACGGATGTTCTTAAACCCTGCTGACTGCCATTGGCGATTGCAAAATAAACGGATCACCAGATGTAACTAATTGACTCTTAACTATTAAATTAATACCAAACATAAAACAATAAACTTTTGAAAAAGAAGGTATACCGCAAACAAAAGGTGCAAAAATTAGTACACCATATCCGGATTTCGACAATTAATGTCTCTTCAGTGATGTTAGGAATCGAAACGGTATTTGGAAGGCCATATAATTTTCTCAATTACCTCCGGATATGGTGAACTAATTTTTGCACCTTTTGTGTGCGGTATACTATCTTTTCCGCAAGTTTATTGTTTTCTGTATTAAATTAATAGTTAAGATCCCTATTGTTACATCTGGTGATCCGTTTATTTGGCAATTGCCAATGGCAGTCAGCAGGGTTTAAGAACATCCGTTTTTCGACCTGCTAGTCAAATGCGTTTTGTTAAAATATACTTTTTCACATTTTTTGGTCTTTTGGAAAATGTTGTTTGTGCTGTATTTAGACCCCTCTACCAAGAAATTTTTGTTTTGCATGCACACGTATAAAAATTTCGGTTTTTATCCAACGCAACCATAGGTTTGAACGTTGTTTTCAATTTAGGCTTGTTTACATGTATATATAATATATATTGTTTACGTCTGTTTCTATTGTTATTAGATATTTGCGGAAACAAGGTCTATACCTAGGATTACTCTTAGACTTATGATTACAGTTGACGAAAAACAAGGGGTCCTCTCAAAATAAAAAATAAACCTAACTGAGATACATAGTAAATTGAAATGATATTTTTTTTTATCATGGATTTGTGATTGAAAATTATTGTCACTGTGAAATAAGAAATTAGGTCAATAAAATTTAGACACTTACGAATATTTTATTCTGTCGAGTTTCAGACCTTTCAATTAAAAATAGTTTAATGCAATAAATTCCACAGTAGTCTTCAAAAATGTCTAACACTTCAAAAAAGGTTGACGTAATACGACATATATAGGTATACCAAAATGAATTTATAAGTTATACCATGTGATTTATTACTGATAAAAAAATTTGTACTTTATGTCTTGATTTTGGATGTGGGAGAGCATTCATTTTAAAAAGATTTTTTTATTATATATTACAGTGCAATCGATAAAGAAAATAACGTGGGAGTTGTACTGATGGTAAATCTGCGTAAAGTGTCCTGAAAACGTACTTAAATAGTTTCGATGGAAAGTGTTTGTTTCCTGGTGTATCTCGAGTGTAAATAAAAATATTCAAACAGTTCATTATTGGTGATGTCAAAAAACCATAAAATTACAATTTGGACTGCCACTAAAGGATAGGGACAGAAATTGTGCATTGGAACTTGCCACCTACGGACCTCTCAGAGAGTTTTAAAGTACAGGGCATGGGATCGGATTTTACATCCCCATTCTAACCGGACTTGGCTGAGAATTTATTCATCATGCACAACCGGACGCCCCTCTTTAAAAAAGGATTTTACTGTCGGAAGGGAAGATGAATCGCAATTTTTGGATTGAAAGTTTTATTGAAATCATGTCTGTAGTTAAATGAGACGTAGTGTTTTGCTAAGGTGATTACAAATTTATGAACCCCCTCATCCCCCACCCCTTGAGACAACTTTGTCCTAACAAATATAATTATGAAAGGTATGATATCTTCTTATTATAGAAATTAGTTCAAATATAATAGCGCATGCATTATAAATTCAAATACAATCTTGTTACATAAATTTTTATAGGGATAAGTAAGATAAATGCTACGTAGTTGCGTCCTCTTTTGACCGAGATAAGTTATTATCATAAGTTAATATATTATCAAACAGATACGAATGTGTACGTGAATTTAGTACAGTAATCAAAGTAAACAATATTTACAACATTCAAAGGTAAGGATTCTTCAATCTATAAAATAGTGTTGGCCCTTCTTCTTACACATCATTAATTTACAGCCATATTTTCATCAATTTTCAAAAAGTTAATATGTTTCAAATCAGTATTGCGCTTGTTTACCTCATAACGTCCACTAATGGAAAAATGTATTTTAATGACTTCAACGTCTTCGTTGACATAACGCTACAAAGGTATAACAATATACATACAGTATCATTTTAAATTTTATAGGTCTAAGAGCGATACCAGACAGGATTAAATGAACTCCAAGATATAACCAACATGTAACTAGTTACATGTAAGATCAGCACTCTCTAGTACTGTCAGAATATCTGTCATAAAACCACTCTAAAAAGGTTCTACCCTATTGTTCATGCATCACCTATCATGTCTTTCTAACGTTATACTCAAAAGCATTGTCATGGGCAGGAACTTTGAAAAACCTGTGCATATGTCAGTAAGAGAATTTTAAAAAGCGGAATTTATTTTATGAGATTACCGCAGTATATTTTCTTATTTTCAGTACGGTTTTTATGTTAACTTCATATACTTTATAAATTTCACAAAAGATTTTACTTTTTTAATTGTATTACAGGAGAGGCTTATTACAGCAATGGCTACAGAAAGCACTAAACTGAACTCAGGTGTGTGTCCTTAACCATAGTAGTAGTAGTACTTGTGTAGAGGTTATGCCAAAATCAAATTGATTACAATACGCAAAACGTATCTCTGAAATCTATTATTTGGGAAATATCTCTAACCGTCTAGTTTATGTTAGGAAGATTAATTTTGTAAATAAATGCAATAAACAGAAAAAAAAATACCAGAATGAAATATAAACTCCACAACTGAGATAACACATTGAAAAATAAACCTAGGACATCTATATACATGTAGTTGAATGAATGGAGATGTGGATTACATAGATATAAAAAGATGTGGTATAAGTGCCAATGAGACAATTTTCCATCCAAGTCACAATTTGTAAAAGTAAACCATTATAGGTGAAAGTACGGTCTTCAACACGGAGCCTTGGCTCACACCGAACAGCAAGCTATAAAGGGCCCCAAAAATGACTAGTGTATTCAAAGAGCTACTTATGACAACACTATTGGTAATTAGAATATTGATGTAACTATCAAACAAATCGATTACTTGTGACTTGTTTATATGTTATGATTCATTGTCCAAAATAAGCTTGAAATATTAGCTACTGGACGTTAGGCAAATATCAAGTCAATCATGTATAATTTAACTTTACAATCTACGCGCTGATACTGCAATTATTAAGGTAGAATTACGAGACCTAAATCTTACACCTTGTGTAATTAAACACGGTCTAGATATGAGAGTGGAAACAGTAACATCTTCAAGATAAGCATCTTCTGCTATCCATGATGCATCATCCGTCATTCGGGGTTGGAATTATGTCCAGTAGTAAGTGCCATGTCAAAGAAAATGGCAAAATGTTGCAAAGAAAATCAATGTTGAAATTGTATATGAAGACATTATTCCCTTAACTAAATGATCTTAAAATCCCCAAAATAAAATAAAATGTTTAGTTTTGCAGATATATTATTGTAAGAGACGCTCATTCATTACTAACTTGACTTTTGTGATCCTGCTTACATTTCTCATCAAATACTTTAAATTTATTTTGCAGAATACCTGTTTTATCGTGATGACTTCCAAGTCACACATAAGATGAAACAAAACTTTGACAAATATGGTTACATATTAGTAAGGTAAATGCTTTATGCACCAATAAATATATCTGAACAGTGAGTTAAAGCATTAATAAATGATAACATAAAAAAAAACATAAAACTACAATTATAAAAAGAAAAAAATGTATTTAATGTTGGTGTTGCATTCCAAAAGCGTTTTGATCAACGCAAAATGAAGTGTTTTGAAAGGTAAATCATATAAATCATTTCATAATGATAAATAATGTAGACAAATCGTTTATAGCCAGCATTTTCGGATGGAATTATTACACAGAACAGAATGAATCTGAGAAAAGAAAACAAAAACTTCAGTATAAATTATGTTAAAGTTGCAAAATAAGGTATGTTATTAAATTATGCAATATTTTTTAAAGAAGACCTTTAAAAGTGATTATGATAGTATAAGGTGAAATTATTGGCTAGAATCATTTGAATATATTTTTAAATGTTTGCTTTGTAGGAGACTACTTGATAACGAAGAGGTTGAAAAAGTAAAGAAAGTATTCGAGAATGCAACATCAGAACAGATTCTTGAAGACAATCAAATGAGGGTAATTAATCAATATTAGAAAGAAATAGAACGGATAGCAATATTGTCTGTGGTGTAGGCCTTTTCTTGTCTATAGTGTTCATAATCGATCTTACTTTATATTTTGTGTTTTAAAGTCTTGAATATTTGGAATATGTAACTTAAATTGCTGAATTTAAATATTGTATTGATATTTTTTTCTTTAAAATCGTTTCACAGACAGATTGTTGGGTGTATCTTTTAATTTTTATAAAAGTGTGATGAGATGCAAAATATGCAATGTCATTAGGAATAATAAATGTTTTACAAATCTTGAAAATTTCAAAAAACTCGCTTAGCAGCTCTTTCTCTCGTTACTAGGACTTCTGGGAAAACCTAATACACTGACAAAATATTCTCTTATTTGACTGAAATGATCAACTTGTATTAGGTCTTTCCACTTTTCCGTGGAAAGACCTATTGATTTAGTTCTGATTATTTTTTTTTCCGCCAAATTTTTTTTCTTGCGCTGTTTGGTTGTTTCGCAAGATGTCGCTAAGATATTTGATATATGATATAGAACAAAATAAACGCTTTTAAAACTGACACTGTTTAAACGAACACTTTTCTGTGTAAGAGTTATCTCACCAAACACTGTTTTTCTTGTTTGCGCATCTCCTTCGCAACCGTAAAAGAAATCGACAAATTTATTTTTCAAATTGCCTCGTTGAATCCTCAAGATGCTTTGGTTAATATTAACCGAAGCGATACTGAGACTCCATATGTGTAAATGTAACACATGAACCGTAAGTGATAAAGACCTAGGGTATCTTGGTTTGAGGTCCTTGGTCTACCAAAAAGAAAATGGTGTCAAAGTCAAAGGTCAAGGTCATTTTCTAAATTTTGCCCTTTGCTTGTGTGTGCATCCTTACTTATACTATAAAAGCTAAATATAAAAGAACTGATGTTTTGGTTGTTGAGAAGAAGAAATGGTACATTCAAGCCGAAGCGATCTGATGATATCTTTTAGGAGTTATTGCCCCTAAAATGCTAAAATTTAAGGTAAATCGAATATAACTTCAATCTGATACATAATAAAGCCAAAGTGTCTTTTGATAAGGGTTCGGTGACACATGACCTTGAAAAGTATCAACCGGAAGTGACTTTGTGCAAACTGGAAGTAGCTATTTTCGCAGGTGTTTGATGTTTTCTCGTGTTCATATTTTCTTAGAATTAAAAACAACTGCAATAGTTTTCTAACCTTGAAGGTTTCTGATGGTCAAGGACAAGAGGCCAAGTTAATTGTATGGTCACATCCCGGTAATGATGTCAGTGGAATGGTTAGTAGGTCACTAAAAGTAGCAGGAACATGCGAAAAGGTAAGTTTTCAATTATATAGCTCTTAAAACAGCTAAATAATACAATGGCAACCTATAAAATCTTTGGCCATTACCAACAATATACAAATGCTTACACCATGTTATTGCGAAAAGTCTTACCGTGAATTGGGAAATTTGACGTCGGGATATTTTGGCAGTTTTCTCTCGAAAGGCATGTGTTTTATTTTAGTGTGTGTGATTTTAGTGCTTCGTCCAATTGATATGTTTAATTTTGGAATAACAGTAGGGAGCAAGCTCATTCATATTTGCCTTTATTTACCCGTTAATTGACAAAATATCATTGAATTTCTCAAACTTAATCCACGACAAAGTTTACTTAATGAAAAAATCGGATACGGATGCAATTGCAAATAATTCCGTATATCGTGGTTCAAAGCTGAAAGAAAATTGAAACAAAATCTTAAACATTAAAATCACTTTTTTAAAAGATTATTAATTTTTTACAAATATCATATGAAATAAATTTTAATCATCTCTATTGCAGTACATGTTAATCTATTTACGATTAAGGATTTAAATTTTAATCCTTATGCCTCTGGCAGTACATGTTAATTAATTGAAGATAAAGGATTAAAAGGAGTTTTGATATTCTTATTACCACAGCGTCTAATCAGCAATAGCCTGGCATATTTATGACATTTATGACATGTGTGAATACAAATTCTTGTTGTGTTTTCTTAACAATTTCCCAAAATTAACAATTTAGTAAAAATTATATAGTGTTATCAAATTATACCAGGTATTTATTTGCAAATTTGGCTACGCGTGTTAGCATTTCAATTTTTACTGTTTGCTTTATTTTCGTGTGTTTAATATTGGCACTTTCATTGGAGGCACCAAATAAACCGAAATAAAACTACAACCAAAATAACCCATTTTACGGTATTCTATGAACGCACAGAGCATGTAATTCTATTTAAACAAATAACTAAAAGATTTTCTCATTAATAGTACAACAATTTACTTAACAATAAATATAGTTCTTCTTTTCAGCTCATGGGAGAAGAGGTATACCATTATCATGGAAAATTAGTCAGTAAAGAGGCTTTCACTGGTGGCTCTCATTTATGGCATCAGGATTACGGGTAATATTAACATAATATAAACGTTAAACCACATGCCATTACAACAGATGTAAAATGTAGGCGACAGATACCAAGAGGACATTAAAACATTAGTCGACATAAACTGATAACACCACGGCAAAAAACGAAAGACGACGAAAAGACAAACAAGTCCACAAAACACTACATAGAAATTTAAAAACACGAACTTCATTAAAACCTAGGGGTGATCATATGTACTCTGCAAGAGTAAGCAGATACTGCTCAACTAGTAGTATGTAAGATTTATTACCATCTCTTTAAGTTTTTTTTACACTAGAGCCGAACGACATTATCTGACCTTTGAATATCCAATAACGAGCCAATTAATGCATTATGTATTTGGATGAGTCCAATGATAATATATCATAACACAGGCTGGACAAGTTTGTCATTCCGCTGCGTGCAAAAGTTGGCATCTTAATTTTTGAAGAGAAAGAAAAATAAGTTATGGACTAACATGGTATTGATTCTTTGATATTTGTCTTTAAATGTTTTGGATTTTGCACCATTGTTGGAAGAGTTCTGCCCATTTTATTAAATTTCTTTTGATGAAAACTTATTTCCACAAAGGAAATCTTATTTCCCTTGAGAAAAATCACTTTTCCTTAGGGGGAAAATTATCAAATCCCCCTGGGAAAAACTTTACCTAAGGAAACTTCTCACATAATTTTTCCTCAAAGGAAATCAATTGCTTCAAAATTTCCTTTAATGAAATCGGGTACATTAAAATTTTCCTTGAGGAAATTTCAAACAAATTATTTCCTCAAAGGAAAAATCGAACAAACTATTTCCTCAAAGGAAATCAATTTTACATCACTTTTCCTCTAAGGGAATTTTACAGTATCAAGTTTCCCCTAATGAAATTTAAAAAAATAAAATTTGCTTTGAGGAATTAACAGAAATTAATTTTCCTTTAAGAAAATTTACAGAGCTAAAAGAATTCACTTTCCTGTAATTGAGCTTTGAACAGATCTTCTACGAATCTCAACTTTTTTTTCTGTATCTACAAAACTGCCACTTTTGCACGCAGCGGAATGGCCAACTTGCTCCGAAAAGTGTTTTATACTAAGAATTACAACGTTTTGAACTTAATCCCAATTGGTAACAAACTTAAGTCGTCATAGTGTAAATATCATCCAACTATCTACAGAGACTTATTAACTAGAAGAGTTTTGTATGATACAAATAGAAGTACCCAATGTATATTGAGATGTCATGCAACCAAAATGTAAACCCTTCCCTTCTCCACACGCTAACGATCATGTCATTTCGCACATTTAAGATATTGGTATAAGAATGGCTGCCTGCTACCTAACATGATGACAGTTTTTATTGCCCTTGATAAATGCACAAAAGAAAATGGCTGTTTGCAGGTAAAATAAGTGTTTCATATGCATCCACTCAAATCAAGTAATGAAACTTTGTAATTTTATTCATTTATCAACAAAAAAGACATGAATTTGAACGAATAAAAGAAATTTTCTGTTTCCAAATTTCAGGAGCAACATAATAGTAATTATTAAACGTCCTCCGTAATTGAAATATTCATAATTGTGGGTGCAGTTTAAATAGTACTAGTAATTTTCGACAACCAACTTATCTCTCTCAATTATGAAAATGTTGATCTTAATAGTATAGGTGCTTCGTTATAATTGTGTTTACTTAAATCAAACTTTAAAACAAAAATGTTAAATATGTTTTGATAAAGAGCTAAGTGAAGTTTAAAAAAAATACGTGGTGTTCAGATCTTTTTATAGACCATTCATTTTAAATATATACAAAAAGGGACAAATGTATGATGTGTGTTGTTTTAATCATTTATATAATGTATTTTAATTTTCATAAATCTTGCAGGGCATAGTTCTATTTAAACAATCTTTTTGCTTATAGTTCTAACTGAACGAAATTTCATATCATATCATATGAAAAATGATTTGTGTTATTTCCTCCTAATATTTCATATTCATCCACTTCCAGATGTAAGTCATTGATAGTTCACTCATGACACTTCGATTGTAAAAATTATTTTTTCTCATTGCGAAACTTGATATATCGTTCTAATTTTTATTCTTGGTTGTATATGCAAATTTTCAAGTTCATTCTATTGATAATTACATTTTCCTAAATTGAAGATATTGGAATGTTCGCACACATGTGGCAGACTCGATCATGAATTGATGCATGGACAACAAGCCATACCAGACACTGGAAGAGTTGATCAGATTAAAGAACGTTGTCCATTGATATGGTGTGAAATGAATCCAGGTTAGATTTCTTAGTACTCAGTTAATCTGATATTTCATTTTCTAACGAAAACTATAGATAGGTTGTAAATGACGTAATTGGAGTTTGAGTAATTTCCTTTGGTCGCCATTTTTGAGGAATAAACGGTTGATTTTCTTTTTTGACCAACCAAATTGAAATATGCGATACACACACGTCTGATAAGAGATCTTTCCAAGATCGTATTGAAGAATCAAGCAAGGTAAAAAGGAATTAAAAATGTTCAGAAAAAAAACCCTTTCTAAAGTCTAACAGTCAGTAAACTAGTTAAACTTGGCTGATTTATGAAGAGGAGCCTCAGTGGCCGAGTGGTCTAAGTAGTTACTACTGTAATCACTAGCCAGTCAACACTGAGGTTGTGAGTTCGAACCCCGCTCGTGCGGGTGCACTCGACTCCAATCTTAATTGACTAGGATTGTCAGTTTTCCTATCGAAGGTCGGTGGTTTTCTCCGGACACTCCGGCTTCCTCCACCAATAAAAACTGGCCGCCACGAAATAGCCCAAAAACGGTGCTTAAAAGTGGCGTTAAAACACCAAAAATCAAAATCAATCTGATTTATGAAGAAAGTTGCGTACTTAGCCCTCCAATATAACGACAAAAGGGAAGTAACTTTTGCTCAAATTGTGTCAAACGAAACCTATCTATTGCAGTCACAGTTGGGAAACTAAAAATGCGATATTAAGGAGGCATTCAAAACTAATAGTCGATGAACGCGAACGCGATTGCAAATAAAGATACAGACAGAAAGATAATGCTCTACATAATACATAAAAATAAAGATTGATTAACACGATCTGATCAAAAATCTGGTTGAACTCGGATGCTTTGAATAGGTAAGCAGTCATGGTTGATTATATCATCTATTTAACGTTACTATTATATTGTTCATAACAAGATCCTAAAGTCAAGTATTACGTTGACTATTTTCCGTTAGATTTGTTAACAGCAATAACAATGACAAAACATAATGAATGTAAGTAGATTTAAGTTATACGCCAATGAAAAATTTACTCGTTAACACAAATAACCGTTAAAGATATATCTATGTTTCAAAATTTGTTCACGCACTGATCATGGTTTTTAAATCGTACATTAGTACAAGCATTTTATATCATTTGTTACAAATAATGCAGTTCTTTGATAGGTGATGCTTTATTTTTTCACTCCAACATGATGCATACAAGTAGTCAAAACAGAAGTCCAAACAGAAGATGGGCTCTCCTGACTGCTTTCAATACGAAGTCAAACAATCCAACCAAAGAGCATCATCATCCATGCTATACACCACTAACCAAGGTATTGCGAGTAGCTCCAGTTTTAACGCCTAGTGTAAATATTAGCAACTAAACAAAAGGTTATACGTCGATGAAACAGTATTCAAATAAATCAATGAAACTAAAAGATACGGTTTTATGCAATGCAGAAGTATTTTATCATATATCTAACTCTGATTGAAAATACCTCCAACAGAGACAACTTTAGATCCTCCATCCAACACAAACAGAACTACTAGAAACAAAGACATCTGCCGAGTTTGTTTTACTCGAGTCATATGTATTTATATATAGCGGGGTTAAATAATAGAATATTCATCTGATTCACTTGACAGGGAACGCATGCATATCAGGAGACGGTTATGTAGACGAAACGCGCGTCTGGCGTATTAAATTATAATCCTGGTATCTTTGATAACTCTTTACAACACTGGGTCATGCCGCTGCTGGTGGACGTTTCGTCCCCGAGGGTATCACCAGCCCAGTAGTCAGCACTTCGGTGTTGACATGAATATCAATTATATGGTCATTTTTATAAATTTCCTGTTACAAAACTTTGAATTTTTCGGAAAACTAAGGATTTTCTTATCCCAGGAATAGATTACCTTAGCCGTATTTGGCACAACTTTTTGGAATTTTGGCTCCTCAATGCTCTTCAACTGTGAACTTGTTTGGCTTTAAAACTATTTTGATCTGAGCGTCACTGATGAGTCTTATGTAGAAGAAACGCGCATCTGGCGTATTAAATTATAATCCTGGTACCTTTGATAACTATTTACTCTGTCAATGCACCCGGTCTCGCTACTTTTGCAGTTCATATGATTCCCTAAGTTTGTGTTTGTTACTTTGATTTGTCTACTTAATTAATTAATTTATGTAATTTGAACATTAGTAAACTATTGTCGCCTTAATTAAACATGTTTTCTGAGTAGTGATCGTTGAAGACAAAAGGGTATAAACAAAAACGTATAAAATGACTGTTGCACTTCATAGTGGATTTTACACGATAACGTCATGAACAATATGGACGACCACTATATTATGCAGTGCCAAGTAAATTTGTGTATGTAAACATATTTAGAAAACAAGTCTAAATTGAAAACAACGTTCAAATCTATGATTGCGTTGGATAAAAACCGCAATTTTTATACGTGTTTTCTTTGTAGAGGGGTCTAAATACAGCACAAACAACATTTTCCAAAAGACCAAAAAAAGTGAAAAAGTATATTTTAACAAAACACATTTGACTAGCAGGTCGAACAACGCATGTTCTTAAACCCTGCTGACTACCATGGCGATTGCCAAATAAACGGATCACTAGATTTAACCAAATGATCTTAATTTTTGATTTAATACCAAACAGAAAACAATAAATTTGCGGAAAAGATGGTATACCGCAAACACGAGGTGCAAAAATGTGTACACCATATCCGTATTTCGACAATTAATGTCTCTTCAGTTATGTTAGGAATCGAAACGGTATTTGGAAGGCCATATAATTTACCTCAATTTAGGATTGACTCTTGAATTTTGAAGAGTCGAAATAGGATGAACGGATTATATAAACCCGCAGGCAAATATATTACAAACCCAAACGAAAAAATATAAACAAGTCTTAATTGATAACAACGTTCAACCTATTTAGGAAAGACACAGCAAAATTTTTTTACAAAAATTGACATATCAATGATATTCCATGTCGGCACAACAGTGATACCCTCAAATCGTCAATCAGTTGGCCATCTGTGTAATGAATAGTGATCTCAATTAATTTTCAATTTTGTGTACAGTAAATGCACATAAAACAGGTCATGCATACCTATAAGCAAACAGAAATAAAATCGTTAAATCTTGTAAAATGCTGCCGTTCATTAAAAATGTATATGGATAGACATGAACTTATATTATTTGACAGACACCTGTATGCCAACTTTATATTTGACAAAAAAATGCTTGTTCAACTTTGCAAATGTTTATGGGCCATCTGAGACATAGACAAATACGAAAATGATAATTACGTTGTCTGTAACAATAACATAAACAGTACTTATTTTACTGAACCAGATGCGCATTCATAATTTCAGTGGTGCTGTATAACTATTGAATAAATGATATACATATGACTTCATTAACATTAATTGATTATAAGCGATATCGTGTTCCTTTTAATAAAAATCTACACCAATCTACCTACAGGTTCCAGATGCTGCTATCAAAGAATGTGAGAATTACACTCTTGATCTTTCCCAGATGGGTTTTGTACATCCTAGTAAATCACAAACAAGTCGTCCGAATCTATCCAAAGAGCAACAAGAAGCAGCCGCCAGAAGTTAACGTTGTCACATTTAACTTGTATTTCAAATTGCGTTATATAATGAGATTATGATAACTTGAATTGTAAAAATGGTAAATTCCTTTTTAAACAATATGTATTGAAATATTGAAAATTGATTATTTCAAATATATATAAGCACCTTAGATCAACGCAGTTTTTGATTGTTTTTGTCTTTTGTTTTCTTTGTAGTGTTTTGTGAATTTTTTTTTCACGCAGTTGTCATTGATCTCGACTTTGGAGTTTTGAATACCCCTTGGTATTTTCCGCCTCATTTTGAAATTTATTACATCCAAGAATTTACCTGCGAATAAAGTATGTATTGCGAATAAAGAGGAATGGTGAAAAGACATCGACCAAATCGTAACAAATTTTGTGTTAATAAAAATCAAACATCTTGATATTGTCAGTTACTGAGAGTTTTTTCATATGAATCAAATATGCTTTTTTAACAAACTATTTAAGCCCGCTGCGTTTGTTTGCGCCTGTCCTAGTTCGGGAGCCTGATATTCAGTTGTTGTCGTTTGTTGATGTGGTTCATTGGTGTTGCTCGTTTCTCGTTTTTTTTATATAGATTAGACCTTTGGTTTTCCTGTTTGAATGATTTTACAGTAGTCATTTTTGGGCCCTTTATAGCTTGCTGTTCGGTGTGAGCCAAGGCTCTGTGTTGAAGGCCGTACTTTGGGCTATAATGGTTTACTTTTACAAATTGTGACTTGGATGGAGAGTTGTCTCATTGGCACTCATACCACATCTTCTTATATCTATAAATGGCACTTAAGGAATAAAAAGTTTATATTCATCCGCGGTCTTCTTTTACAAAATTCCCTGCCAATACACCTCTTCTCCCTTTTAAGTCCTATTTAAAGGAAATATGCTAGGTTCAACGTAAGGTCCCAAACTTAAATGATTTCATAAGTGTTCTCATACTAAAGTGAAACTTGTGATTGACATTTTTTAATTGTTGGATAGTTTATTCCTATGCAAAGGTAAAGAAAAGAAGTAAGATTCTATTTAAGATAGTGTCAAAAAAAGTATGAAGGAGAACCTATTTGTTTTATTATGGACTGCATGCTAATGAGCTGGAATTTTATTTTATGGTATATGTGGTATTGTTTTTAATCCAAAATGCATTAAACCAAGAACTGGCCTTTTATGACATTTTGTGACATTATTTTAACAAGAAGTTTTAAAAATCAAGTCGCTGAAGCATTGTATATTTTCAAAAGGTACGCACGGAGAAAAAAATGAGACGAAATGCAAGCAGATTTGATACGAAGGCTCTTTCTAGTCACACCATGTCCTTTAACACTATGGTTCATATTTTTATCGACCTATACGATATGTAATATTTTCGCTCTGTTACTTTAACGAAAAGTCAGTTATCGATTTTAGGAAATTCGTCCGATCTGCATATCAAATTTTAATGTGATCTTTTTTAAGAGTGATAAGTTTTCTTACTTTCCTTTCTAAGGCAATGCATTACTTTTCTTTTTAAGACAATGAATTAATAAAAGGTAAACAAGCTTGTAATAATTTGGATATAAATAAATGTTTTGGCAAGATATAAAGCCCTGCAAGGTTCATATTATTCACTCTTATTAAGAAATCAATGCATTGAAACGTATATTAATGCATTAAAGCAGAGATTAAAGAGAGGTAGAGTGTTATTTGCTATTATTTTGATGTAAATGGTTTACGTCGAAATAAAAAACTAACAGTTGTTTATATGATGGGTGCTGTAGATTTATTTTTCCCCAAAGAGGTATTGTTCACATGAATAAAGGCAGCAGTATTTTAACGATAAAACCATCCAGAAGATACAAACAAGGTTAAAAGCAAAAACCGAGGAAGTTGCATAAACTCCAAAAGGACCGAGACCAGATGCGAAAGGGTAAGGTTCTCCTGTTATACATGCATTTAACCCCTCCCCCATGTGAATCAATACCCCCCCCCCCCAAAAAAAAAATGTAACAATTATGAATAGGACGCAACCAGTACATTTAAAGATTGGACAACCATCCAAGTATCTTAAGATCTAAGAAATCTGAAAGCATACCGTAAGCTACTTTAGACACATCGCATCGGTCAACCAGTTCATAACGGTGAACGTCAAACTTGAATTGTCGATTTCAATCGTTTGTCATCAAAACTCTATTGGATCAGTTTTTTGTCAGGAACACGTCCGTGTTAATGAATCTTGTTTTAACATAAAATATTAATTACAGTTTTATGACTCTTTTTTAAAGTCTAAAACAATATTCTGATTGTTCTTACCGGAGTTTTCGCTTTCAGCATTGAGTATCAATTTTAATCGGAAATTTCAAAAAGTTATAGTTAATCTTTTAAAAAATTATCTATCAATAAATGCTTGAAGTTCATATCTTTTAACTCTTGTCAATATACCAGGAAATTTTACAAACATAAAAAATTCAAAACCGGAAGGGGAAACAGTCATATAATATTAGAAAATTTCCGATCAATATTTTATTTAACCGGAACATTTTAACTTGTAAAAATTTATATGGTGTTGTACAGAGGTATGTATATTTTTCAACTATTATAACTTAATTAATAAGATAATCATGATACGATGCATGGTTAATCCATTCATAGTACAGAAAAGACTTTATCACAGTGTCTCTAAACATAACATTGATATTCATCTGACGAGTACATCACTGAAGAGATATTTTTTGTCGAAATGCGCATCTGGTGCAGAAAAATTGGTACCGTTTAATGTTATTTCAGTACATTATACAGTGAATCTCATACTTGTCATAACACTAACACACTCCATTTTTTTTTATCATACCTGGGATCAAAAGATTCATGTATCAGCCAAAGATCGATCAAATACAGTATTTTTACCACATCATCAATGATATTTTTAACATGTTATCAAAATAGTATTAAGGAAAATACCTTTTCTATAAATAGATTTTATCTATTTCACCTTCGAAAAGGACCTTTGGTAACCCTTTTATCACTTCCTTTGTACGGTCAACCACACCGTTGTTAATCGATAATGTATGAAAAGTCCATATTTTGTCCCATTGAATTAAAAATCATAAAGTGTTATAATAAATCTGCCAAATAATACCGTTTAGATACTAGTCTTAATCTATATCATTATGTGTGTTTTTAGTTTGCCTTTCATGTTGCTTCAAGCCTTCAAGCTATTCACATTTAAAAAAGACTGCAAAAAACTACCAAATTCTGTTCTAAAGCAACCCTATTTTATAATGTTATTGATGTATCAATAATGTAAACACTCCTTTAAGAGTTGGTGGAGTATTCGCCCATTAATGCACTTTTCAAAAGCCGACTAAAGGATGTTTTACTATATCCCCGTCTTTTATAACCTGTTACTACATTTTCGTACCAAATTTAAAGCGATATTTTCTTAAGCTAGCACTGGATCGGTACCACAACTGGTGGATTGTAGATCCCCGAGAGTATCATTATCGTGGTCGCTTCGAATTCGGTACTGATACAAATGATTAAAGTACCTTTCTTAAATTCTTCGTCGACAAATTCAGAAATGATAACAAGACTGTATTTACAACTCCCGAAGGCAAAGTTGACGTCACATGGAGGATTTGTCTATTTTTTTTAGATTCCCTTTGGTCATATATCTCATCAAAAATCGACACACAATAGCCTAGAAAAACATAAAATAGTAATCATAAAATGAAACAACAGGGACCCCCCATGAACTTAGGTGCTCCATAAATGACAAGCAGTTCCTGTTTCATAAGGGGCATCTATTGATTTTGTATGATAAGTAATAAATTTGTAGTGTCATTAACTAGAAAAGGAATTCATCATAATCAGCATTGAGGTAAACCGATTTACGATTGCTTTCATAAAAAAATCCTATATATGACTTTAACATTTAAAAGGGGACATAATAAAAACGAAAAACGTGGAGGATTTGTCTATTTTTTTTAGAATCCCTTTGGTCATATATCTCATAAAAAATCGACACACAATAGCCTAGAAAAATATAAAATAGTAATCATAAAATGAAACAACAGGGACCCCCCATGAACTTAGGTGCTCCATAAATGACAAGCAGTTCCTGTTTCATAAGGGGCATCTATTGATTTTGTATGATAAGTAATAAATTTGTAGTGTCATTAACTAGAAAAGGAATTCATCATAATCAGCATTGAGGTAAACCGATTTACGATTGCTTTCATAAAAAATTCCTATATATGACTTTAACATTTAAAAGGGGACATAATAAAAACGAAAAACGTGGAGGATTTGTCTATTTTTTTTAGAATCCCTTTGGTCATATATCTCATAAAAAATCGACACACAATAGCCTAGAAAAACATAAAATAGTAATCATAAAATGAAACAACAGGGACCCCCCATGAACTTAGGTGCTCCATAAATGACAAGCAGTTCCTGTTTCATAAGGGGCATCTATTGATTTTGTATGATAAGTAATAAATTTGTAGTGTCATTAACTAGAAAAGGAATTCATCATAATCAGCATTGAGGTAAACCGATTTACGATTGCTTTCATAAAAAATTCCTATATATGACTTTAACATTTAAAAGGGGACATAATAAAAACGAAAAACGACGAACAGACAAAAATCCAGTCCACTCAACACTTCATTGAAAACTCTAGCTGCAGTTTAATTCATGATTGGAATAAACTCAGAACAACCTCATTGACAACCTTGTAAATAAGTATTTGGAAATAAAAAAATACTGGTGTAGCCTCGTGCTTAAAAAATATTTTTATTTTATGCAGATGGCAGATAAACCAGCAGTTTTAACTAAATCACCGAAAAGTCCTTACAAACAACTAGAGGAACTTGTTTCGAAAAATCGTTTAAAGGTAAATGAAACTATGCAAATTACAGTATTCAAATACGAATTAATTATTTTTATCGAGAACGTTATTTGCGAGTCGACGTAAATAATGCTTCATTTCGTCGTATAATAACAAGGGATTTTCACAAGATCTCATATCAAAGCAAGTGTTAAAGCCTTTAAAGTATTAGTTTTGATAAAAGAAATAACATGGCAGATTTGGACATAAAGTTTTGGCTGTTCGGATTAGGTCCTATTGACTTTAAAGGTCCCGAAGCTGGTGAACAGGCACATTTCCGCTTGAATACACGTTTATGTTTCCTTTCTGTAGCATATTATAATATTTCCTTCCTTTTTCAGGAATTACAATTACATAATATCAACAAATATACATCCAAACAACCATAAAACGATGCAAAAATCTACTATAAACAGCTTACTACTAAATTATTTACATTTTAAGATTCTGTCTTTCATAAGCTGTCTGAAGTACAAAAAAGGAAAGAATGCAAACAAAAGTCCGACAAAGTGTATAGTTTTAAATATAGTTCCATTTGATAAAAAATCATATGATTAACCATGTACACTTTGTTCGATTAGACTCCGTTCCTTAAATTCAATTTTTGTCAGTTGTATTTGACTTGAATATTATCATTGCTTCTCACTCGCTCTGTTGCTTGATAACATTTGATTTTGTCAGTTTTTGTAGACTTCCCCTTTTTGAATATACCTTGAAGTTTGGTTTTTTTTTTGTTATACTTTTATATTGACCAATCAAACAAAATAATAATTATAGATACCAGTGATAATGTACGTTATATTCCCAGTACTCAGTATTTATAGAGCTCCAACTAAATCTTTAGAGAAAAAGAGAAGGCACAAAGAACATGAAGAATACAGTTCAAAACCAAAAGTTGACAGAAGACGTCAAACATGACCAAAAGAAAAAGGACGGGCAGAAAACAAGTCCGCGAATCATTACACAGAAAAATAAGGATTAAGCAACCCGAAATCTTTCTATTTTTCCATTTCTAAAAAGGGATTCAGATTAGCTTCACACTGGAAAGTTTAGCTGTTGCTGCTCTCCTGGTTAGTTGCACCCTTTAATATGCTTATGGCAAGACCTAGTAAATTTTAAAGTGTTATTGTCATTTATAGCACTGGGTATCACCTACAATACAATCAGTACTATGGTAATGACATTATTTATAACATACTTATCTTAAGGATGTATTCTTCTGACGGTTTAGTCTTGTTGAAAACATGTGATACAAGTGAAAAGTATCAATGAATTTAAAAAAATATTTTATAATCAAACTTATCCCTGTGATTTACAATTGTTTTTGAGTAATACAATTTTCAAATTTTATAACCAATTAAGTCAGTCTCATTAGTCAAAATGTTGAGAAAATGGGTGAGGGGTACAAGTAATGATTTTACTAGATACATGTACATCCCGTATCAATTTTTTCTTTTCTAATTTCTTAGATATGTATTTTTTCAATAATTTATAAGAAAGAAGTTGAAATAATATGCTTTTTGTTCTAAAAGAAAGAGAAAAATCCCAAATTTACAAAATTGACAACATGGTAAATTTGACACGAAAAAGCAACAAAATTTTATAAAACTTTCTTATATTAACACATACCCATAGTTTTTTTAAGCTTACTTTATTCAGATTGGTCCACTTCATCTTCAGTGAAACTATGAAAAAAAGTTTAATTGATAATAGCCCAAAAATGGGTAAAAATTGATGAAAAATGGGAAAATCATCAAAATTGGGTACTTTCAAATGGCTGTAGCAAAAGAAGAAGTGCACCACCATATGATTTTTTCTTCACCAATTTAAAAAGTAAGCTTCCAACTTCATCAGGTAAGGTAGACCTTGGATGAATGAGGTTGACAAATTATACTTTAAATGTGGGGACTGTGTCAAAACATTGATTATCGATTTCAATAGGTAAAATTCAATTTGCGTGATGTTAACCAGGTATCTACACACTACTTGTTTCTTTTAAAATTAAATTAATTTAGAATAATCATTTTCTGATATCAATGCTTATGATTATAGAACCGGAAAGGTGTACGTGTGTGCGCAGGGAGGGGGTTGGTTTTTCAATTATGCACTTCTAGATTTAAAAAAAAATCACATGATAAGCCACTTTGATTTTTTTATATTAATTACTGTTTTTCGAACATATCAATTTGTCACTCCACTACTGAACCTCGTCATGAAAACCTGAAAATGCATGAAATATTTGTCACTGGACGAATAACATAAAACAATCAAGCAATCTCTACTAAACCCGCACAAAGCTCTACAGTCTGGTTGATTTTTTTTCCGGATGTCTCTATACACGCTTCCATTTACTTTGAGAGTTTTAAGCGCCTTATAGCGTGTTCCGCATATACCCGACACCCGAAAGATAATCAAAAGTTATTTTTTTACATTATATTCTTTCTGCTCTTGGTCTTCATGTAGCTCTAAGTTTATGACGGCGATAGAGGGTAACGAATGGAGAACGACATGCGATACATTTTTTTTACCTGAAATGACAAAATCCTGGGGAAAATCTAATTCAATACCTGGCTTATTGAAGGCAGTAAATTAAAATATTGAGCATCATTCTGTTGTCCTAGGAAACTACTGCGGGTGAATTTTATATGATTCCTATTGTACACAAAAACCTGCGTAGGTATGGAATACCGGTTTGTGGAGTAAAATTGTGCCAGAGGCTCCATGTGTGATCTGTAAATGGCACGAACATTGCTGCCAATTGCCGCTAACGCTCTATTGTCGAATAAAAGGTATTTAGTGTATAGATTTCACAAAGAATCGGTATCTAAGAATCTGTTTGTGCACTCGCAGCATGAACAGAAACTGCAAAGAGAAATATGCAGGAATATGTATTTAGGATATAAAACCGGAGAAAAAGGAGTCACATATTACATACATGCATTAGAGCGTATATGACAGGGAGTAATTTTTAGACTGTTTGAAAGGCTGGTCAAACGAGTCAGACAATTTCATACCTCAGAAATTGCAATGCGAAATGTTTTGAAACTTTTCATGAATATGTATAGGATGTCTTTCTTCAAAGATCCGTAGTTCGTTGGGTCGAACTAGTCACATTTTACATGAAAATGATATAAGGGAAATTAAGCTATTCCAGAGTAGGTATTAACAGATCATTATGTATAAAATCATTTCCAGGGTCTAATAAGGCCTATCGAGGCCCTAGATGTGTCATAGTGGTCATATGTGCAATTGTCAAAAAGTTTCAACCTCTGACAAAAAAACAGCAAACTATATCCAAAATGAATCCATAAGAAAAGTTGTACATTTTCAATGTATATACATACATTGTGCAAAGTTTAAAAGCGCTTAGGTAAGGAGTTTATTACTCAAAACGGATACAACTCTTCTTCCGCTCGTCTGCACGTCCTTCCGCCTGCAACCTGGATTGCATCATATTATATGATAAGTCGATTCTGCATTGTGTGCAACCTGTCCAAAAGTTCTGACCTCGGGTAAACACACCTTTAAGTCAAATGGTCTGTCGCCATTGGTATCAAAATCGTAAAAAAATAGATTGGCAAATACATATTGCTTTAATTTTTAAGGGCTGGCGGGGGATTTGTTTCTCTCATCCTTGACTACTTTTTCTCGGCTTTCTTCTGGATTTTATATCTTTTCTTCGGCACCCTTGCCTCCTATCAGTGTTCCAAAAGGAATAAATAGTTAGGGATTTGTCATTTTTATTTATCGAGCATCACTGATAAGACATTTACTGTCGAATTGTGTATCTGGTTCAGAACAATTGTAACCGTCAATGTTATTCATTCCCCACGAAATAATTATTATGGAATAATAATTTTGTTCCATAAGGAATATTCATATAATAAAATTGTAAATAATAAAGTTTTCAAAGGGACGTCTGTTATATGGAACAAATATACGTGGACATCAGTACTTTGCGTTTTAAACACAAGATTCAATTGATTATTATACACAGGTAATTTAAATCTTTAAATTACTTTTGTGTTTTTATACGATACCCGCATTTAAAGTCTAATTTGACAACCTCAGCGTAGAGTATATAACATTTCGTAACACGTCTACTTAGTCGCCTTTTGTTTAAATAGCTACTCACATAATTAGATATTTAATATATTTATACATCCTGTGCTCCAAATGATTGGTTTTGAGCGTTGAGATTAATCCCAAAAACAAGTCGGAAGCACAGCATTTTCAAAGTGTAATTTTCATTTCGACACGGAAAAGAGAACATGGTTGTCGCGAGTTTTGTCAAGGACATATTAGATCATATTAGCTTTCACATAATCATTGTTTTATAGTAGCAATAAAGCGTATCGAAGAAAATGTCTAATAAATTATTTAGAGATGCACAATCATAAATAATTTTATTTTTCGTGAACAGATTGGATTCAGGAAAGGATGTAAAAATAGCGTTAGACATTTTTTGAAAAGTTTTATTGATAAAGCTTTCAAATCAACCAAAAGAATATATGCATGTTTTATTGACTTTAAAAAAGCTTTTGACACTATAAATAGAGAGGCCCTGCTACACAAACTTGCTGAATATAACATAAAGGGACCTTTTTCAATATTTACAAAGAAATTCTATTTGTAGTTTAAGTCCCTGAAGGCATTACTGAGATATTCCCTTCCACAGTTTGAGTATAACAAGGCTGTATTTTTAGCCCTACCTTATTTTATTTTTATATAAATGACTTAACCTCCATTTTTGATAACTCATGTGATCCTGTAACATTACATAATATAAAATTGTCTAGTCTTTTATATGCTGATAACTTAGTATTAATATCAGAATCTTGTGCCCCTCTTCTTGCCGACTTGTTTCTTTATTATTATGAGGCTGACTTTCCTGTTGACAAAACTTTGAATTTGTCGTAAAAATAAGGATTTTCGTATCCCAGGAATAGATTACCTTAGCTCTATTTGGCACAACTTTTTGGAATTTTGGGTCATCAATGCTCTTCAACTTTGTACTTGTTTGACTTTATAACTTTTTTTATCTGAGCGTCACTGATGAGTCTTATGTAGACGAAACGCGCGTTTGGCGTATTAAATTATAATCCTGGTACCTTTGATAACTATTTATACAGGAACTTCTTAGGAAGAAAGATAAGAAGTTAGCAATATCCTTTTACTTTGCGTACCGCTATATAGATGATGTTCTCTCACTAAATAATACAAAATTTGGTGACTATGTTGAAGGAATCTATCCCATCGAACTAGAGATAAAGGATACTACAGATACAGTTAAGTCTGCCTCATATCTAGAAATTGACAATGAGGGTCGGTTGAAAACAAAACTTTACGACAAAAGAGATGATTTCAGCTTCCCAATTGTGAACTTTCCATTTCTATGTAGCAACATTCCAGCAGCGCCTGCATACGGAGTATATATCTCCCAATTGATACGATATTCCCGGGCTTGTATTTCCTATCATGATTTCCTTGATAGAGGATTGCTGCTCACAAGGAAGCTATTAAACCAAGAGTTCCAAATGGTGAAGTTGAAATCATCCCTTCGTAAATTTTACGGACGCCATCACGAGTTGGTTAACCGTTATGGAATAATCGTTTCACAGATGATATCGGATATGTTCCTTATGTCGTAACTACAATACCCTTCCCTTTTCACGAATGTGACCTACCGAATTAGACTATTTACCGGATTTGTAATAACATAAGCAACACGACGGGTGCCACATGTAGAGCAGGATCTGCTTACCCTTCCGGTGCACCTGAGATCACCCCCAGTTTTTGGTGTGGTTCGTGTTGCTTAGTCTTTAGTTTTCTATGTTGTGTCATCTGTACTATTATCTGTCTATTTGTCTTTTTATTTTTGACCATGGCGTTGTCAGTTTGTTTTCGATCTATGAGTCTGACTGTCCCTCTGGTATCTTTCGTCCCTCTTTCAGATGGATTACAAAATTGTCTAAACAAGTTGAACACTTACTGTAAGAAATGGAACTTGACCGTCAATCTTGACAAGACAAAATGGATGATATTTAATAAAAGTGGTAAAAAGCTTACTAAAGACAATTCATTCTGAATAATGAAATAATTGAATGTTGCACAGAATACAAATATTTAGGTTTATCATTCAAGCCATCAGGAATTTTCACTAATGCTGTAAATCTCCTTTGTATAAAAGCTTTAAAGGCATTGTTTTGTATTAAAAGAATGCTTTATTCAGATAAGATCGATATTTTTTTCCCAAATGAAACTTTTTTCATTTATCTTGTGTTACTATATTGTAGTGAGATATGGTCACTAAATATTGTGAAGAACAACAAAACTCTTGAATCTCAATATTTATCAATTGAATCAGTAAAACTCCAAATCAAATTTGCAAAAAATCTACTTAACGTAAATTCAAAGGCAGTAAATATAGCTGTATTAGATGAATTGGGAATGTACCCTATTGGTATACAGGACCTAAAGTCTTCTGTAGGATTTTATATTGCATATCTTAAACTCAAATGAAAAAGAGTCTTTATTATATAATGTTTATAAAAATTATAAGCAGTAAAATAATGGATTTGCTTCCAAAATTAAAATGCTACTATCTAAATTGAATTTCCCTCATGTGTGGGAAAATCAATGTACCTTTTCTAAAAAACGATTACTTTCAGCCCTATCGAAGAAGCTCAATGAAAATAACAATATATATTGGAAAACTTGATGATAATTCAATAAATGGAAATAAACTAAGAACCTACAGAAAATTTAAAGTAAAGTATGAACTTGAAAAGTACTTTTTATTGAATTTAGATAAAAATGTTACAAAAAAATATGCAAAAATAAGAATAAGTAATAGTATGCTAGCTATTGAATGGTCGATACAATAAAACCGCCTTAGAAAATAGAATATATCCCTTATGCCATAAAGAGGTGGAAGATGAATTCCATTTTATCATAACATGTACAGAACTTAATACATCTAGGATCAAAATGTTTAAAACTGAAATTTCTAATATTGTTCCCTGTTTTAATTCAATGAGTATTTTCTTGCGAAGAATGTGATATATTAATTACCATTGTTAACAGTATAAGTGAAATGTATAATGAGAGAAACAACTATAATGTCAATACATTAACTGTGTATGATTCATGACTAATATTATAATATATATAATCAAGATATTTGAAATGATACCTTTATAGAGGAGGCATGTTGTCAAAAATAGTATTGTAATAAATATTAACATTTTATTTCAATGCTACATGTTTGTATTGTTTTCTGTCTATCGTTTTGTTATTTATATGTTTTTCTTTAGTAACAATCCTATTGTTTGGATTTTAAACTAATAAAATTCTTTTTCTTATTCTTATCCCTTTTTCCAAAAATGTGGTCTTTATTCTTCCAAAATTTAACTTTTGTATGACATTTGTATGACAAATATACATTTGGTTAAATTTCATGCATTAATTTCTATACATGTGTAGTTGCAGTGTGATATCAATCTACAAGAAAATGAGTTTGTTGCCAAGCTTATCCTTGAAGATGAAGAATACTCTGGTTGTGGAGCTAATAAAAAAGCCGCAAAGGATGATGCCGCCAATGATGCCTTAATAAATACAAAGTATCATGATGAAACAAAAATTGAAAAGACAACAATTACTAAGTTAAACGAACTTTGTCAAAAAAAACACGCAGGTAAGTATTTATAAAACAGGTCAGAATAGAATAAAGTTTTAATTTTGATGGTATAGCATCTGCAATATATCTTCATCAGTTTCCCTGAAAACTTTGTATCTTTATCGTATCGACAATGTACGAAAAACATCATATAGTATCGTCATTCCCTCCGCCTATATCATCCTGCTCAGTCGCTTCGTAATTCCTGAATCACGGCTTTGAGACGTGAGCAAGCATTTTCAGCGCCGTCACAATGCCTGAGGAGAAGTTATTAGCGACATCACAATGTGTGAGATGTTATCAAGCTTACTTTCGTCAAGGTAAAACTGTCTAAGGCAGCGGGGAAAGATAAACAGATTATCGGGTTTTCTACGTATAATTATCGTAAAATATCAGCCGCTCGATACAATGCGAAGTTTTTTGCTAGTTTGCTGCGTTCACTCTCCAGAAAGGTTCACACAGTGGCTCAAAGCTGATATTTTACGATATCAATGTGTAGAAAACATAATCTATACGTATCTATTTAAAGGTTTTCTTGTTTAAAAGCAGTTGTGTATTGGCTTGTAGAAAAAAAGTATCAAGACATAATTTTCCTTCACAGTATTTCGTTTAAGAAATAAATACCTGGTCAAAGAGATATACTGTCAGAAGTTGAAGGCTAATGAGTTGGTTGACCAATATTTTTCCGCATGTTTTACGAATTTTACGAAACTAGACAACTTTGTAAAAAGGGAATAAAAAAATTAAATCCCGAGGATTATAAACGATCGCTAACGAGTCAAACCATTTTATTTCGAAAGTGAAATAAACTGTTTCCTTGATTTTGTTTTAAAGAATTTTGTCAGAAAATACTCGCACGTCAACCAATCTAAGTCTATAGTTAGAAGGCAACATAGAGTACCGAGGTTCAAAACAATGAAACCCCTTTTGTATATTCCGAAAAAAGAGTCAAAACCATAGGGAATCACAAGAAACTCAACAGGCCAAATGAAGTACATATGGATTATGCCGGGTGTCAGTCTTTAGATTTCTATATAGTGTTCTGTGGACTGTTGTTTGTTTATTCGCCGTTTTTCGTGTTTTGCGTTGTCAGTTTCTCCCCGACTTATGAATTTTTTAAAGTACCCATGGTATCTTCTGCCTTTTTTATAAACTGTAAAGTTACGAAAAATCATCATTTCAATGACAGTTCATGTCAGTAGAGAATTGTTGACTATTGTGCTGGTGATATTCTCGGGGACAAACAGCGTTCACCAACAACTCCGAAGTTATCAAAACTAATCATAGATACCAGGATTCTAATTTATTAGCAGGATCTGCTTACCCTTCCGGAGCACCTGAGATCACCCCAAGTTTTTGGTGGGGTTCGTGTTGCTCAGTCTTTAGTTTTGTATAATGTGTTTTGTGTACTATTGTTTGTCTTTTTCTTTTTTAGCCATGGCGTTGTCAGTTTATTTTCGACTTATGAGTTGAGTTTGAATGTCCCTTGGTATCTTTTGCCCCTCTTTTATTACACCGGGTTTGCGTTTCGTCGACATAAGACTGGCGCTAGAATTAAATCAGTTAGAAGGCCAAATGCGAAAGCTAATCCAGACAAAGAAAAATGCCACTATAGCATACAACCGGTACACCTTTACATCAGCCAATCTGACAGCTGAAATATGCTGCAAAAGTATGATTATGATACATAGTAATAATTATTATACTAAAAGTAATAATGATGATAACGAAGAAAAACATGTTTTCCCATAGAAATGTGTGTCAGATAACCAAATTGCTTTCAGTTATCTAAGTAATGATAACCAATAATATATCCTTTCCAATTCAATTACTTCAACACGACACGATCTCCTGTTGGTTATAGTTTACAAGAAAATATTTCTGGCGTATAGTTACAAAAGAAAACGTAGTGTGTTGCGTGGTATTTTTCTACAAATGTACAAACGAGGAAAATAACAAGCTAAATGAGACTTATGTGAATTAAGTTGATGTTGTTGTGGAAAATAACCCCTATCGATCAATCTCATATTATTTTATCTACTTGCTGCACATAACGTATGTATACATAGGAATAGATTGTATACCGTATATGATTGTAGAAAGACATGAACAAGTCAAAGAAAAATACTACCATCAAATGATATGCAGCAGAGATTACCAAAGAAAACGAATTTATTGATGTCTTTACCTTAGTTGCCAGAAGAGATATTTTTCAGTGTCCTCAAAAGAAGTAATTCAACTGATGGTATGATTCTTCAACTACAATTTTGGTTTCATAATATATATAGATAAACCTACATACAAGGAAATACTGCTTGCATTGATAATTGCATTAATCTTTGTATAAACTTGTTCATTTTGCAGATAAACCATACCTATGAGGAAACTTACAAGGAGGAAGATGAATTCGTCTGTAGATTGATAATTACTCATGAAAATAATGGTATTGTCAAAGACGAAGAGCATGTAGGAAGAGCAAAATCAAAGAAAGATGCAAAGCACGATGCTGCTTCCCGAGCTCTTAGGAAAAGTAACATTCTTCTTAATTCTTCTGCTAAAGGTAACTGATCTGTTATACATGTATGTCTTATGATGGGAAGATGACTTTAGTAATAATAGTTATTGAATGGGGAAAATAATTATATGTACCCTATCCCTCTTCAGGTATTTTTTACTCCTACGACCTTCTTCTTTGTTTGTCAGGAAAATTTACCCTTTTATAACACACTCACCCAAAACAGCTACATGAACAAACAGGACATTAAAAACTACCCAAATTCATTTTAGTCAACTTTGCCTGAGACAGTTGGAACGATAGTTTTTTAATAATTTCTTAATTTGTCTATTGAAAAAAGTATTAACAATAATACTGAACTGTAAGGTTAATTCAAAAAAGGGGAAGTCCATAGCACCTGACAAAAATCCAACGTTGGACTATAACAACTAACGAGACGAATGGAAAACAACTATTATATTCCTGAGTTGATACCAATGGTTTCATTTGGTAAAGTTGAAATCATAACTTCGAAATTTTCAAAACAGACATACTGATTTGGTAAACCGTTAACGTATATCTGTGTCACAGATGAACATAGATATGTTACACTTGTCACAGCCACATTACCGTACGTTTTTATTCGATTGTAACGTATTTGAATGTGACTTATCGCCGATGTTTTGTTACCATGAGCAACACAAAATGTTCCATTATAAAGACAAGAACTGTTAACTCTCTCTGATCACGTCTTTTAACCCCATTGTTTTGAGGGTTTCGTGTTGTTCAATCTTTACTTTTTTGTGCACTACTGTGTTTTGTGGACTCATTTGACTTTTCGTCATTTCACTAGTAAATGATTTTAGTCTGCAAAGGTCATTTTGATCTTGACAACATCCGAAAAGTCTGAACAATACATTATTAAGTCACGTTCAGGCTTTCTGAAAATTAAGGATGTTGTTCATGTGTACAATTGAATATTAACTACTTGACAGTCTGAACATAGACTAAACAGATCTTAATTGACTATAAACGAATTGTTGGAACAGTACTGAATTTACCGCAGTGGATAAATCTAAAATTGAAGACTAATTAAAAGACTGAAAATTACTTACTAATTTGTTGCATAGTCTTTAAAGAACTATTAAGATCAAAATCACTGTCTTGGATAAAAAAATGTTTACTAGTGTATGTCTTTTTTGTCATAGCATTGTTTGCTTGTTTTACTTATGTTATTTAAATGGCCTTTTGGTATATTCTCCCTATTTTTTTTTGTCGATTGTTGAAACCGTGCGTTTCCCTGGAGATGTCTTGTTACGTTTATCTGGTGTCCTGTTATAGTCTGATTAACATTTACTCTCAAATCTTCTATTATTTCTATTCACAAATGTTGTTACTTTCTATGATATGTGATTTCCATAATGCACATGATGACAATTCTATCAGTTTTAGAATACTTTCAAATTTTTATATTACAGATTTAGCTTGTGCAGATGGATCATATGCTTGTATTGGAAACCAGACTGGTTATGTTCTTATTATTAACTTTAGAAAAGATAGAGACTGTAAGTTAAAGTAGTATGGGGGTTTACACAAAAAATACCGATTTTTCCATCATTTGCCAAGATTTAGTTTATATCAAGCTATTTTCAAAAATGTTGTTTATATCGAGCTATTTTCAAAAATGTAAATTATATCGTGCTATTTCCCAACATGTAGTTTATAAAGTGCTATTTTCAAAAATGTTGTTTATATCGTGCTTTTTACAAAATTTTTTTTGTTTGTTTATGCCCTTAGCTCCTCCGGGGAGCATAGGTCATTGACGAAAACTTGTTTAAATCGTGCTATTTTCCAAAACGTTGTTTATATCGTGCTTTCTTCAAGAATGTAGTTTATATCGTGGTATTTCCAATATTCCAGTAAAATGTATAGGTAATCGATTTTGAAACTACAGATAGCAACAATTTACACATTTTTCAAGGATTGTACAGTGAAAAAGTATAATGGTGTGAAAGAAAAAACCGAAATTTAATATGAAAGTTAGCTATAAGAAATTATTATAGAAAATTAAAAAAAATTGACGTCATCGTCTTTTTTCTTGCTATAGTACAAAAATAGAACAATGTATTGTAGATTCCTTTGAAAGATTAAATTACCTGAGCTATTTCCCCTTCTGATGCTAATTAAAAAAAATGAACCAATCTTTTAATACTCTTTATTTATAAAAACAGCCCTAATTATAGGCTAAAATCACATACTTTTCCATTTAAACGAAAAGCATTTAATATGAATTGCATTGCTCCCTCAAAATTTGCTAATTTAATAAAAAATCTTGTTATAACTATTTTACTACCTTAGATGGCAGAAGACTCTCATATTGCCTGTAATATGTGTATGTATTAATTTTCAATTATATAAAATGATAACTGGCTATGACAAACCTTTCATTTAAGAATTGAGTATTTTTTTCCTGTGTTATGTCCTTTGTCTGAGCGCCAACTGAGTCACACGTTGTCATGTGTATCTCTTAAATAAAAAGTGATAGAGATACCAAGAGTACTATCAAAATTCGTAAGTCAAATAAAAACAGACAACATCATGTCCTAAAAGAAAACAACGAAAAAAAAACATAAAAAACCCAAAAATTACACAATAACCTTCTAATGCGAAAATATGTGGTAGTGTTCGGTCTTCTTTCTTTAGAACAATGCTTTATAAAAAAAATATTTTTAGTGATCGTAATGTGGTCTTAAACGTGGTCCACAACTATAATTAACTCACACTTTTGAATAGAAAAATTGTTCTGGTTAATCTATTCATTATAAATCATGGGATGTTTCGAAATAACCACCATGTTTTTCTAAGAGATTTGAAGCACACAATTTCTTAAAAACCTTAAAGATACCAAAAAGTCATTTTTTTTAATTTCAGGGGCAGACAAAGACGAAGAAAATATAATTGAATTAATGAGCGGTATATTGAAATTTGAATATTCGGTTGTGGCAGACCCAACAAAGGCGGAGCTGGTCAATATTCTAGAAAATATTTCAAGCAATTTAAATGGGAATTATAAATCGTATTATTGTTTTATGGTATTTTTGATGGCTCATGGTAGTCAGGTATGTATTAATCTTTTTTCATTGACTTACATATACATTTATATTTATATTTGTTAAAATGAGAAGACAATTGGTTTTAAGGTAGATGGGGATATTAATAAAAGAAGATATAATTTCTTTATACTTTACATAGGTGTTGATTTTCTCATGCCGTTTTCAAAAATATAATAAAAGTATGGGTCATATAGCTTTGTATTAAGCCACATATTGTGTGAAATTGTTAGATTTAGAAAGGAATGTAAATGGAAAAGTCACTATTGTGTGAATAGAAAGAAAACAAAATGATAGAATTTTAAAATAAATAAATGAGAAAAAGCTCTTATAATGTGTTTTCATGATATAAAAAGAAAAATCGAAATCAAAGTACTCGTTTACTTACTACATAACAAAATGTTTACATGCGAAAGTATGACCGTGCCACGTTTTGGACCCGTGAATTCTAAAATCAAAAAGTATCATCAATCTACCAAATATCAACCTTCATATGTCCATAAGAAATATGATTCTGTCAGATATCAGGATTTACATTTTGAATTTGGTCTTACATATTTGCATTAGGGCTTCAAACCTCTTGCATTTAAGTGCAAAACTGCAAAACATTTTGTCTTATTTTGAAATATTGCCATTGATATATTTAAATATATAAGCAAAGGATGTATCCAAAAAGATATTTCTTAAAATATGTATTGTAAAAATGGTTATGTGTGTAAAATATCCTTTTTGGTAAGGTCTTTGATCATATTCATGTTGACCAAAACTATACGTGAAATTACCATATCAGGTTAAATACGTCAATTTCAACATGTTTATGACTTCATACGGACATCATATGTGAGCTATCTTCCACTATCAAGATTGTGTCTGTTAAATGAATAATAAAAGTTTCGTGACAATGTTTATCGCAAATATCCCATTTAACCTGAAATAAAGGAAACCACAGGTACAGTTAAGTCTGCTCAATGTCTTGATTTATACCTATAAATTCACAATGAATTTCCGAGTAATGAAATCCAAGCAGCGCATATATATATGGAGTATATATCTCCCAGTTGATACGATATTCCAGTGCTTGCGTTTTCTATCATTATTTTCCTTGATACATATTTGCTTCTTACAATGTTATCCCTTCGAAAAGTATAAGGACACCGTCATGATTTGTTTGACCGTTATGAAAGAACTGAAAAATAGATGACCACGGATATGTTCCACTTGTCGTAATCCGAATTTTAATGGTTGCCAATAGTGGAGCAGGAACTACTTACTCTTTCCTTTTTGTCCATGGTGTTGTCTGTTTTATTTGATATTTGTTTTTTGCTTACCCTTTTGGTGTCTTCTCCATCTTTATTTATGAATGACCATCTTTTGTCTGAAATGTAGTACAAATTGTATCAGCTGTTACCGTCTCTTTTAACTTATACTGATATCAATTATTTACATTAGTTTGGAGTCATAACTGCTGATAAAGGTAAAAAGAAGATAACTATTTCTGTGGATGAAATAATGGAATTGTTTAAAAATGATAAAATACCAAATTTTGTAGGTAAGTATGAACAAAAATGTATCTCTTAATTTTTTAATAAGACCATGCCACTGCTGGTGAACTAGACGTCCCCGACGGTATTGCTAACTGAGTAGCCTATATTTTTTTTTATATTGGGTTAATTTCATTCACTGACATATTCTATAATACGGGTCCAATTCTGACACAGGAAGTTAAATTACGGTGAGATATATATATATTGAAATCATAGTAGAGCAAACTGCAGTGAAACAGCAACACAGTGATACAAAAATCATAAGACATATTTAGGATCATTTGGTCACCAATAATAAACAAGAGTCTATATAAAATGTCAAGCTCTAAAATCCCCTCGAGTCTTAAAAATATATATTTCAAATTGCAGTAAACTAGCTTTTCTTCGTTTCTTAATCATTGATTTGTGTTTTATTCTAAGATCACTCACTGTATTGGTTCCGAAACTAATAATCGTTGTTCAAGGTTTCTAATTATGTGCACACATGTATAGATAATACAACTTTTAAATCGATGAATACAGACTACATGCTTGTATTTCTATAAAAAAATAGATTTGTTTAAATACAATTATCAATAAAACTGGATACAAATGTATGGAAGTGATATGATAGTTTTGAAACTATAACTGACTGCAAGTACATTTATGCTACATAATTGAAGTCTATTTGTATTGTTCTTTGTTGTTCTGCTACAGCGAACATTTTCCACATTGAAATTTTAATATAGAATATTAACATTTTGAATCTGAAGGAAAAACTATAAACACAAAACTTCGGCAGAAAATTTGAGCATCCCGATCTCCATTGAAACAAATGAGGTGAACAGTTTAACACTTAAGTCTGAGAGAACATGAATAATTTATTAGTTGTTTTTGTCTTAAAGTAGCGTTGGCGATCATACCACATCTTCTTTTTTATATTCAGTTACTGTTAGATCGGTAATGTGTGTCTTTTGTCTTTAACTCTGATAACTGTTTTATGTGCTTCGTGTCGATCTGATGAGTTAAGCCGCGAAACTGATTTTCACAGTTCGTTCTTATGCTTTATTTTGCTCTTGCACCATTATCCCAGGTTAGAGGGAGTGTTGAAATCTCACAAACACGTTTACCCCTGCCACATTTTACAGGTGCCTCTTTTCCAAGTCATGGGCCTGTAATTCAGTGGTTGTCGTTGGTTGATGTCTTTCGTATTTGTTCTACATTTATTGTTTTATCATAAATCAGGCCTTTGGTATTTTCGTTTAAATTGTTTTACATTTTGTATAGCTCACTATAGGTATGGGTTTTGCTCAGTGTTGTATGCCGTATTATGACCTATAATTGCTTAACTCCGCTTCATTTTAACTCTGTTGGATTGTTATCTCTTTGACTTATGTCTTTATTTTTATATAGTGTTTACACAGGATAATAAGTATTAACCGAGAAAAAATAAATCCATCAGACTAATCACTTTCAAACATTTATAGTTTTGCAAATCATAAAAGAATTATCATGTTTTAAAGGTAAACCTAAAATGTTCTTCATCCAAAGCTGTAGGGGAAAATCAATCCAGGATACTTTCGTTCAGCCAGATGATGACGACGATGACACGGTAGAGAGAATATCAGCACCAACTGATGCAGACATTCTTATTGCTTATGCAACTACTGAAGGTATAATGTGTATTGTATGATTATTCCACTTTGTAAATATATTTTGTCATTATTCCTTTGCACAACAGTAAAAAGATCTACATTGAACAAAAAAAAAAAAAATACAAGTCGAAGAAAGGAAGACAATACTATGGCAATAAAAAAATCAGAAAAATACAATCATTAGTCTACTAAAAGCAATACATTGAAATCTAAAGATAAGGCAACACACACAACCAAAAATTGAAGTTAACTCAAGTGCTCCGGAGTGTTGGCCAGTTCCTGTCCGATAATTGACATCCATAGTGGTACTCAAATTCCTAACATTTATGCATGGCCGATTTTGAAGTTTTCAAATGAAAAACATAGTTTTTCAGAGCAAATCATAGTTTTTCTGAGCAAATCATAGACAAGCATGTTAACAAAAGGAAACATCACATACATTAAAAAGAAAGTACAACATTGAAATCCAAAGCAAATACAATACCAACTCTACGATATATATAAATAGGGTTGAACTCAAGCATTAAGTTCCTATTCTAACGGGTAATGAAATCGAAAAATCAATAAAACTTCACCACTTTTAAATCGTCATAGGGATATCAGGATCGCTTTTTCTTATATAAGCATTTACTATGATAAAAGACAATAAAACGATGCATTTTGCGCAAAGAAATATTGTTTTATGGATTCACTTATTTCACATACAAATTGGTGTTTTGGTATATTCAAGCAAATTTAGAGTGCACATCAGCTACCTACTATTTTGAAAATAGATTGAATTCGGATACAGCGCTGTTTAAGCTCATGACGCTATATTAATTTTATCTTTCTTAGAATTATAAATGTAAGAAAATAAATAAACTACTTCATAATGTATATTTTCAGGTTATAAAGCTTTTCGACACAAGAATTTTGGTTCTATCTTTATCTATGAATGTATAAAGAAGTTCAAGGAACAATATAGTAAGACACATCTAGAAGAAATGATGATTGATGTCAAAGCAGCACTTGCGCTAGGCTCTGTAGATAAGACAAAGAAGCATGTACAAATGCCTTGCACATGGAGCACCCTTACAAAAAGATTTTTCTTTGTACCCACTGAGTCATAACCTAGAAAAATGCTTGTAACTAATTTAATTGATTAAAATATTTGTCTTTTTACGTAAGGACAAGGTTCGCTTTTGCCAAAATGTAACCTTGAATTAAAGGTTTTTCGTAAAATATAGAAAAAAAAAAACACTCACACTTTGTTTCTTTATCCTTTGTTTGATTAACTTCAAACTCTGTAAAATAATTGATCGTGATATGCAAACATTACCATGTGAAGTTTGTTTGATTCTGTTGATATTATCTAGAATAATGTTCAATGCTCATTTCGCTTTAAAAATGTTTACCCTTTCGGAGCCGACCTCTTCGTCGCAACTCCTCCTACATGAATTTATCGTATCTACAAGAAACTTAGTGCTTTGTTAGATCTTAATATGCAGATGTGCATTTGGGTTGTATGTTCCCGTCCGTTGACTTTTTTTTTTTAGAGTTATGCCCCTTTCAACTTTGAAATTTTGACCCTGTCCAGAACATATCTTTTATTCGCAACCCCGCCTTCATGTTTTATCTTATCTAAACGAAACTGTATATTGTTAAACTAGTATCATAATATACAGACATGCGTAAGGGTCCATTGAGTTTTCCCAGAATCATGTCTCTTTGAGCTTTGAAAAGTTTAGTTTTGCCCGACACCTACCTTGTCATCGAAAATCCTACTTTATGGTTTATTATATGTACATGGCAGTTGGAACATTGTTAGGTATGCTTATGTGGTAGGATATTCTAGTCTAATGAGGTTATGCCAAATAGAAAATATTTACCCTGTCAAAAATCTACCTAGTCATCGCAACTCCTCAAAGACGTTATTTTTTTTTAAATCATATATATAGGATACTTTATACATTGTTAGATCCTGATATGGAAATATGTATGTATGTAGGATGTACACATCAAAAGTAAGAACTAATAAGTCAAAATTTATGATATCAACTTTTTTTATTCCCCATTTTTCAGTCACTAGTATACTTAAACGCTGATCAATGATGCGGTGTATGTTAGTACGGCTTAGCATACAGTTATAGTGTGTACTGTGATATACCAAAAAGAAGCTGTTTCATATTATTCGTTATATCGCAACTATTTCTGCATTTGTAGTAATATGGACATATTGAAAAATCATAAGGCCAATTCTAACCCTGCGTGAATCTTCTCCTTAAATTGTACGAATATTGAATAACGAATTAATGTAGTAAGCTTCCAAATATATGCTAAAATATAAACACTAATGTAATTGATCAGCATTTTTACTGATTCCATCTGCAGTAATTAAGATAAAAAGTGGTATTTCACATCTACCTTAATTTATACGGTAATGTTGTTCATAATGCAACTTTAAGAATTGTCTTTCAAATATTTCGCTAAAGTTTATAATTATACTGTTGTGTTCATCCCTGCTTCTGGTATTTGTTTGTTTTTTGTATGTGTCTTTTTTTAATAAACATCAATTCGTAAATACTTTAAAATCATTTCCTTTGTTTATCTATAGTTTGTTTGGGCATTTCACATGTACAAGATCAAGTATTCATGTACTCTTCATAAAATTGTATGAAATATTTTATGTAGTACATCAACTGATATTAAGTGTAGGACGACATGATTTCACATCAGCAGGTTAAGTACTTTGAGCTCGCTTCTATTAACTACGAGCGTTGCTTATTATTTGTCGATTACTTTGTGTTTTGTTATCTATCCTATCGTTATTTTAGAGTAAAGCGTTCTGATTTTTGTTGCATGTTCTTTAAGTACGTTTTTTTAGTCCACTGGTCGATATTAAAGAAGGGGAGGGTTGAGACATAAACTTGTTTAACCCCGCTACATATTCATGTTCTGTTTTGTTGTTCGGAAAATTATGTTCAGTGGCGTAGCTTACAGTTAATTTCTAGTGAGGCAAACGAATTGATGCTTTAGAGTCACGGTTTCAGTTTTAAAAGAGGGGGGATGGGTTGTTTATGTTTCACTTTGCCATAGTCTGTGTGTACTTGTTTAAGTCGTGCAGGAAACTGTATATTAATTTGTTTTCATTTGTTGATGTCTGTCATATTTGTTTTTGTTTCACTAACATAAATCAGCCCAGTGGTTTTCTATTATGAATTATGTTACTATGTGTTATGATGTTTGCTTATTGCTTATTGTTGAAGGCCGTACAGTGACCAATAGTTGCTTACATTCCCTTTAATTTGGACACTGTTGGATAGTTTTCCCATGTTCAGTCATACCACATCTTCATATTCCCCATTTCCATTCTCAATTTTATTTATAGTAAAAACAGCAAATTTTAAATAAAAAATGAAAAATAGCAGGTGGTTAGGATCCGAGTTTTTCTTTACAAATACATTAATTAAATCATTGAATTATTAAAAACAAGATATGTGTATTTGCGGTGATATTTAATGAATAAGTTGGACATATATATTCTTTTACTCCGTCCGAGGAATATGTATGTATGGAGGCTTATTTCTGCTTTATTTCGACTTTAGGATGAGTTACCGAGATATTCTAAGTCGAATTGTCGAGATAAGTAAGTCGATTTAACGCAAAACGTAAGTCGACTTGTTGAGATATTATATCGGCAAGTCGACTTAATTATCTCGGCAACTCCACTTCACGACGGGAGAAATAAGCCTCCATATGTTTGCTACGGATCGAGAAGTCAAATTTTTGATGGAAGATATGATTTTTTGGTGTCTCACTTTATCCTTTTCTCATTGTCTTTTCTTCGTAAAATATCTAGTGAGATAGTTGCTTCATTGCCTCAATGGAATACATCTTTTTACTCTAAACCTGTGTAACTACCGTCGCAGATAGAAGAAAACGTAAACGTTGGAATGCGCGCATTCATAAACAAGGTATCGTGTGGTTTTCTTGTACTTATGCTGTGTTTTGTCATTTGTGATGTCGATATCGCAGAGGTTATTGCGTTTCAGAACATTTAAGATGTGTCTTTAAATGTATGCTTCTGATTGAGATACAAAAAAGGTTGATTAAAAAAAACTAGTTTGATGACATCGCTGCTGGTTAGTTTGTATATATATACCAAGTCAGTGATTGTCTAGATTATATCTAAATATAAATAAGAAGACGTGTTATGAGTGCCAATGAGACAACTCTCCATCCAAGTCACAATGTGTAATAAGTAAACAATTATAGGTCAAAGTACGGCCTTTAACACGGAACCTTGGCTCACACCGAACAGCAAGCTATAAAGGACCCCAAAATGACTAGTGTAAAACAATTCAAACAGGAAAACCAACGGTCTAATCTATATAAAAACGAGAAACACTTATAAACCACATCAACAAACGACAACCACTGAACAACAGGCTCCTGACTTTGGACAGGTGCATACAAATCCAACCTTCAACCTAACTTGAAACAGAAGTGTAACATTACAACATAAAAAGACACACTATAAAATATCAATTGAAATGGCTTAACTCGATCAAAAAGAAATTATATAAACAAAAACAGGTAAACATACACAGAACGATAAGTTTGATCTATGACACAACATACAATATTAATAAAAAAGTTGTAGAACAATATCAAAAAGACAACTCTAACCTGGGACAAAATGGCGTTGAATAAAATAACGTACACAGGTAAATTTAAATATAATAGGCAGGCAGTAGGATAGTTAGGAGTTAGATTTATTTAAAGTAAGTTTCTTTGGGTAAATTTCGGTAGTATATTTTGAGAACTGGATTATTTAACGAAAACATATCATCAGGATAACGGTAGGTATTGTTGATTGTGTCAACCAAATGTAACAATGACGTGTCTTTACTGCGTTTGGCCATTAACTGTGATTCATAGCAATACAGGAATAAATCTGCTATTAAAGGGGCGCAATTAGTGCCCATAGGAATACCTACTACCAGTCGATACACTTTATCGCCGAAACGTACATATAGGTTGTCCATGAGAAAATTTAAAGCTTCAATAATATCTTCACATTTCCAGTAAGTGTATCTAGCATACTTTCCTTTTTCGTTACAGAAAAAGGCTTTAAACGAGTTACAGCAAATAAATTTGCAATGAGATTTATCAAAAGACCATTTAATCAAAGATGAAAACTTTTGTCTTGATAAGATAGTGTGGAAGTGTAGTGTAGAGAGTAGAAAAATCATAACTGTCAACAAAATTAAAATGACCATCAAAAGCACGTATTTTATCTAAAACCTCTAAAGTATTTTTAACATTTCATTCCGCAACTAACAGTTATACGGACTTTTTTCTTAACGCCTTCACATATGGAGCTGATGTTTAGTATGTGAGTCTACTATGATGAGTTACAGATCAAGTTTACGTTTGGTTCCATTTCGCTGATTTTCTCCGAACTAACGGGCTTTGGACTTTCAAAATTTCGTGAAAATAACAGCTATACGGACTTTTTTTCTAAACGCCTTCACATAATGAGCCGATTTTTAGAATGTGAGTCTGCTATGGTGAGTTAGAGATCGAGTTTAGATTTGGTTCCACTCTGTTGATTTTTGCCGAAATTATGGGTTTTGGAATTTGAAAATTTTGTGAAAATAACAGTTATAAAAACTTTCATTCTCAAATTTCCCCCTGAAAATGGCTTCAAGCGTTTTTTCCAAGCGGGGCCATTCGTGTCGTTTCGACACATCTAGTTTTTTTTTAATACCATCCTATACAGTATAAATTTGTACCACACAAAAATAAGATATGACATGCCAAACCATTCAAAGAAGATGATTATTGTTCAGCTAGCGTCCAGTGGTAAATATAGTATGCATATTCAGGACGAGATCAAATTAACAAATGCAATGGATAGGTTCTATGAAGGGTGTTGACAGGGGGTGAAAGGCGGAATTTTCTTCTGACACAGGAATATGAGGGGAGATTTGACAAGAGCAAGAGGCTTCTGTGTAGTTTTTTTTTGTATGGATAGTACTTAAGATTATTGTTATCCGAGTTGATAAATTCACTCAAAACAAGGTAAGACCAGCATAGTAGTGTTAAGTATGTGGTATAAAACAGAAAATTTAATATTCAGTGCCAACAATGGGGAACATATCCAAATCCTGTACCCAAGCGCCTGCGAAACAAATAAAAGAAAAAAATGAATGAAAAAATGTTCACCTCAAAAACTGAAGAAAAAAACCCGATCCTCATAGAATAATTACAGCAATGTACTACACGGATATATAAAACATTTACGGCACTATAGTTACATTTAATTTTAAAGGTGCATTCATTCGATAATATGTTTCAGTATTTCGTATGCATTTTAGTCTAGACGCCATCTAATTAACCATCTAGATGACGGCCTCCGAAGACTGCCGACGGTCAAATAACCCGTTATTAACATAAATATAAATAGATAGCGAGCGCGTGCAATTGGATATTTCTATGTCTGTTTGATTTTATGTTATAGGTTAAAAATTATGTTAATCATCGTTTTCACCTGTATATAAGAATGTTTTTTTTTTGTGGATCGAAACAGTCAACGAAGTGGTTCATCCTTGTTTCACTTTCAATGTTGACATTTTTTTCCTTTTAATACTAGATGAACAGGCCTAGTACATGCGTGATCCATCTCCAGCTAAGAGGTTTAATTGAAGTTCACACAAACACAGATTCAATTGAGGTAGAATTATTCACTTGCAAGTCAATAATACACCAGCGATGTTTCTGAGCTTATTTTGACAAATTTCGGCAAAACTGACGGCTTACAACGAAATGTTATTTCAAAATAACCCTTTGATTAATACTTGAAACAAAAAGAATCATATTTTAATGCTTTGTCTAAATCGTAGCTAATGTCCATTTTAATTCTCAATAAGACGGATATTTGTCAAGTGTTCTCCGAAATTGACGTATGAGTACGTATTAGACTTCCGGTTGTGGAAAATCAAGAAAAGTAAAACTGTAAATAAACATTGGTTTGTAAAGTATTATGTGATTTCTGCAGAAAAGACATTACATCTGCAACTGTCCTATCTTAATAATGATTTATATGCATTTCATGTACACTGTTTCCTATATGTTATTTTATTTTTCGTTGATGCGCAAAAAATTCAGGTACAACTACAACATGTACAAGTCTGACTTAGTGCTGTCGGGTATAAAATTAAAATCAATATGTACTCTTTATTTACATTATGTACTAAGTTATCATCAACTACCTTATCCCATCTTGAAGCAGATGACCTGATAGAAATAGAAAAACAATCTCAAAATTTCTGTCACCAAATGAATAAGAAACGCACCGAAATACAAACACGATGATATATTAATTAGAGACTGAAGTGAAACTGCTGAAACATCCAGTTATTTCTCTTCAAGACACCCAACAATGTGAATTTACATTTAAACAACAACAATATTACTGTATCCAGCTCTACAAACTAACATAATGCATATACACAAAACAGGAAAGATGGACCAAGCAGTCTGCATGGAATGCCAAGCTAACTGCCTCCATCTACGACTAGATTAGCTGCTTACATCTAATTATATGCTTAGACCTTGGCAGGGGATCACCTTATATTAAAATTTTAAATGATAAATTTTTAGTTACTCATATATTTTATTTTTGGTAATCTCATCTAAAGCTGATACCATACTGACACAATTTAATCCCAATCTTTTTGTTTTGTTTTAATTAACTTATTTTTACCTTTTTATCCTTTTATTTCTATCCTTTTTCTTTCATATTTTAAATCCTTTAACTTATTAAACTTATGGTAGAAACATCCCATTGTCTCATGCATTAAAAGGAATCAAAATGGTACTTAAATCCACAGACACTTAAAAAATTACCTATATACATGTACCTTAATATAACACAAGGTACTTAACTCGCATTTTTGAAAAATGTCAGCCGGTCGCGAAATTCTGTTATATGCCGATTTTTTGGTTGTCAACCCCACTAAAACTTGTTATGTCGTAAATCTAAATTGATTTTTCTACACAATGGTGTATAACACGCCTACTTTTGTTGTCGGAATCATCTGTAGCAGGCCTACCCAAGTATGTCAATCGATATTATTTCGTGTACCGACGCCAGATTGGAAACACAAAACTCGCAGTAAATGATTAATTATAAAAATTATTTAAAAAAAACTTATTTAGTTTTTGTCTGAATAGAACTAATCACCCAGTAAGTAAAATTGTATAAGATACCGTGAATAAAAATCTAACAAGTGTTATTTGTGGTATGTCTAATAAGTTACGAGTTTCTTTTTTTAGACATAAATTTTCCCATTACGTCAATGTCATTCAGACTCTCTCTGGACTTTGCGTATGAAATGAAATAAGATCAGATAACTCCGAGAAACATTAAGACCTTCCCATAAAATTTGACCAATCGGAAACCAAGATATATAAAGAGAGTGGGAAGATACCTTTTACTGCGAGACGTATGTTTCCAATTTGGCGTCGGTAGACGAAATAATTACGATTGACATACTTGGGTAGGATTGCTACGGATGATTCCGAAAACAAAATTAGGCGTGTCATACACCATTGTGTAGAAAAGTCAATTTAGATTTACGACATGAAAGGGGTTAGTGGGGTTGTTAACCGAGAAATCGGCATATAACGGAATTTTGCGACCTGCTTACATTTTTCAAAAATGCGAGTTAAGTACCTTGTGTTATATTAAGGTATATAGGGGAAAAAAATTCTGAGACAAGTGCCTGTGCTTAAATCATAAACTTTAACCTAGGTAGATTTATAAATGATGTAAATAGCACATAATTTTAAACATGTTAAACACTTGTTTTTAGTGGTTATTGTTGATTGCTGTCTGCCATCTTTGTTTTTATTGGCTCACTGGCCAGGTGAGCGTTTGTCATCACTTGGGGTCTGTTTTCTGTCATCCTTCCCTCTGTAGTCTTAAACTTTAAAAAAAAATCTCCTCTGAAACGACTTGGCCAAATGATACCAAACTTTGCCTTAATTTTCCTTAGGGTATCTACTTTAAAAACTATATCTGGGAATTTGATCCATCAACAAACATGGCTGCTGTTGCTAAAAATACAACATAGGGGTAAGATGCAGTTTTTGTCTTATACATGCACATATATGTATCTCAAAAACTAAATAAAAATTGTTAGAGCAAATCTGATGTTGCAGGGGTTCAAATTAGCGGTGGTCTGAGGTCCATGACCTTTCACTGTTGCAATTGGACTTTCGTTTTGGTTACTAGCTACGCACGACGGACCTTCGATTTGAAAGAAAATAAAATTGCCGACCTTTTTAACCATCAGTATCGTCATTTCAAAGCCATATTATTATTGAAATTGAGATAATAAAATGTTTCATCCCTGACCTTGCTGACAAGTGATAAAAGTTATTTTTATATGACCGCAAAAAAATTTTTGTGGTTGTATATTGGTATGACGTTGGCGTCGCCGTCCGAAGACACATTAGTTTTCGCACTCTAACTTTAGTTGAAGTGAATGGATCTCAATGAAATTTTACCATAAGGTTCAATACCACAAAAGGAAGGTGGGGATTGATTTTGGGGGTTATGGTACCAACAGTTAAGGAATTAGGGGCCAAAAATAAGCATTTTTGTAACTTCCAGACATAACTTGTGTGTAAGTGTATGGATCTCTCTGACATTGTACCACAAGGTTCCATATCACAAAGGGAATGCTGGGATTGATTTTGGGGGTAATTGCCTCCAAATTTTAGGAATTAGGGGCCAAAAGGGCAAAAAACAAGCATTTTTCTAGTTTCTTGACAATAACTTGTGTGTAAGTCTATGGATCTCTCTGACATTGTATCACAAGGTTCCATATCACAAAAGGAATGCTGGGATTGATTTTGGGGGTAATTGCCTCCAAATTTTAGGAATTAGGGGCCAAAAGGGGCAAAAACAAGCATTTTTCTAGTTTCATGACAATAACTTGTGTGTAAGTGTATGGATCTTTATGAAATTGTACTACAAGCTTAAGGTTCCATATCACAAAGGGAAAGCTGGAATTGAGTTTGGGGGTAATTGCCCAAAAAGTTTAGGAAAAAGGGGCCAAAAAGGGGCCAAAAATAAGCATTTTTCTAGTTTCCAGACAATAACTTGTGTTCAAGTGTATGGATCTCTCTGAGTTTGTACTGCAAGGTACCATACCACAAAGGGAAGGCTGGGATTGATTTTGGGGGTAATTCCCTCAAAATTTTAGTAATTAGGGGCCATAAAAGGGCAAAAAAACAAGCATTTTTCTAGTTTTAGGACAATAACTTGTGTGTAAGTGTATGGATCTTTATGAAATTGTACTGCAAGGTTCCATATCACAAAGGGAAAGCTGGGTTTGAGTTTGGGGGTAATTGCCCTTAATGTTTAGGAATTTGGGGCCAAAAAGGGGCCAAAAAACAAGCATTTTTCTAGTTTCCAGACAATAACTTGTGTTCAAGTGTATGGATCTCTCTGAAATTGTACTGCAAGGTACCATACACAAAGGGAAGGCTGGGATTGAGTTTGGGGGTGATGAATCATAAGGGGGTTCAAAAAATTTGGGGGGGGATTTTTTTTCTTTAAAATTTTCCATTTTAAATTGGTTATTTCTGATTTATATATTTAAGCAAATAATAATGATATTTTTTGAATAGGTAAATTAAAAATTTTTAAGTTCTTAGACCACTTTCATTCTGTGTCAGAAACCTATGCTGTGTCAAATATTTAATTACAATCCAAATTCAGTGCTGTATCAAGCTTGAATGTTGTGTCCATACTTGCCCCAACTGTTCAGGGTTCGACCTCTGCGGTCGTATCAAGCTGCGCCCAAGCGGAGCATTTTATTAACCATGTATTTCTTGGAAACACAAGGTTATGAATAGTTGTGATAAGTCATGTGACAAATCATTTAGACATTTTTGAACAAAATGAGTCTGTTTCGCTTTGGTGTCATGTCTTCCAAGAGGAAGCCTGAAGATGATGAACGGGCTTCAACATCTTCCTTGGGAACAAAACAAAAGAAATCAAACGAAGATCTCACTATAGACCAAAAAAACAATCGTGAATAACGGGAACGGAAAATTAAGCCCAACTGGAAAATCGATGGACAGTGGCTATATTTTGATGAATAAACTGGTCTAATGTCGTGTACATACTGCCAGAAGTCCCGCCTCCACATTTAGAAAAGAAAGTGCACTTGTAAGGAACACAAAATCTTAAAATAGACCCAATAAAAATACACGAAGTGACACCCCAGCATTTATCTTGTTTAAAGCAGTGGATCCATGAAAGTGACCCAAATTTTAAGTCTTAAGATTTATTGTCAGACACTAAACTTGGACAATGTATTCCCTAGCAGCAATGTAAGCCTGGTCAGTTAAATAGATATAAGGTTCTCTTCAACACTGCATACAGTGTTGCAAAAACAGGGAAACCCTTCAGTGACTATGCATTTATTCTTGAAATCCAGAGCATAAATGGTAATGATGTTGGTAAGCAGTACTTCAATTATAATATTGAATTGAATTTCAAATACATCATACTTCTAAAATTAAAATCATAAACATATGGCCCGAGAACACAGTTATTATACCCCACACAACGAGTTGGGAGGGTATAATGTTTTTGACCCGTCTGTCCGTCCGTCCTCTGTCCGTCCGTCCGTCCGTCAGTCCTGTTTCTTGTCATCGCAACTCCTCTCAAACCACACAACAGAATTTCGTGAAACCTTTTCAGATAATAAGGACATACTACGTAGATGTGCATATCAACAGAAAATTACAATTCAATTTTTTTTTCAGGAGTTACGCCCCTTTGAACTTATTTGCTTCAATATACTACTGCAACGGTTTGTCATCGCAACTCCTCTGAAACCACTGAACAGAATTTCATGAAACCTTTTTAGATAATAAGGACATACTATGTAGATGTGCATATCAACGGAAATTATGATTCAATTTTTTTTCTAGGAGTTACGCCCCTTTGAACTTATTTGCTTCAATATACTACTGCAACAGTTTGTCATTGCAACTCCTCTGAAACCACACAGCAGAATTTCATGAAACTTTGTAGATAATAAGGACATACTATGTAGATGTGCATATCCACAGGAAATTAAGATTCAATTTTTTTTCTAGGAGTTACGCCCCTTTGAAATTATTTGCTTCAATATACTTCTGCAAGAGTTTGTCATCGCAACTCCTCTTAAACCACACAACAGAATTTCATGAAACTTGTAGATAATAAGGACATACTATGTAGATGTGCATATCGACAGGAAATTATGATTCAATTTTTTTTCTAGAAGTTACACCCCTTTGAACTTAATTGTTTCAATATACTACTGCAACAGTTTTTTCATCGCAACTCCTCTGAAACCACACAACAGAATTTCATGAAACTTTGTAGATAATAAGGACATACTATGTAGATGTGCATATCAACAGGAAATTATGATTCATTTCGTAGTGCATTTCTTTTAGACAATAAATTCAAATTAAAAAAATCGCACCTGCTCTATCTCAAAAAGATTTTTACAGTGTAGTGTACTACTATTGATACAAATAATATCAAAATTATAGAAACTTCTACCAGCTCTAACTCAAAATATTGACAATTCTGTGTTAAAGGGGGCTAAATTCAGTTTGACAGCTTCAGACGTTCTAATTTTTGACCTTCTTTAACTGGACCAAATCACTACTTAACATAAAGATTCAGCAACCAAATTTTGTTAACATGTAATTTCATCCCTTTACTGAATATTTCATGCATAAAATATCAAGAAATAAATTGGAAAAGTGTATCAAAAAAATATGCAAGTTATACACTGTTCACACTAGGGACTATATTCGTAGACAACGAAAACCTAAGGACGATAACTGTGTCCTTGGACCATATACAGTGAGAATCTAGAAATATGACAAGGACAAAAGATACAAGGCAAATACGCTTTTACATCAATAACAGATTATGATATAATTGTCAATGATTGAGAGAACACACTCACCCACAGTGGCACGTGCACCCTCCCCAATACAAAAAAAAAATTATTAGAATTCATAATATACAAGACAATTTAACATTTATTAATATACATGTTATACCACAGTGACACTGACAGTTTGGCACTATATATATGGTTGCCTGGCAATATATTTGTAAGCTTAACAAAACATTACATGCAGTTCAAATATGATGAAACAAGCTAAACTTACACCAAAAGCACATTAATTTTGTATCTTGATGAGTTATGAAATATTTCATGTAAAAGTAGGACCTTGGATTTAGGTTGTGGACCTTTCAGTTTTGAGTGTCAAAGGTCCTGGACCTTCCAGTACCAAATTTTAATTTGAACCCCTGTGTTGGAAAAAAATTTATCAGCAGGTCAAGGTGTATCTCTATGGCCTAATCTAGGATTTTGGAGAGGGAGAAGTTACTTCTCCTTCCATGAGAGAGTAGAGAAAAGTGAATTTCCATTACTGTTTCGATTGCGTTGTGTTTTGGTGCTTATCTATGACATATGCATGTACATTAAGGAAATTGTTTGATATATATAATATATATGCATATATAACATGTGTAAGGCTATATGCAAAAAAAATATACCTCCATTGTTTTTAATTGATACTGTGTATATTGAAAACCCTTCATAAAATAGTAATAGCAATTGAGTCATATTATTTGTACTGATAATTTGAATTTAAGTTTAAATAAAATGTGTTGGTATTATATCTCATGTGCATCTATCTCAATTTATTTTAAAAGTCAAGAAACAAAATACTCTCAGTTTGTTTCTGATGACTTGGTTTTTTTTTAATCAAGAACTGCATTAGAATGATTGAGCAATTTAGTTTATATCACCACTTGTCCTAATTTTGTTAAACATTATTGAATGTCCAAGACATCATGTCCATTATAACAGAGACATATATGTATCTCTGGCTGTAATATGAGATTCTCATGAATGATTGTAGACCTATAAATGAAGATATATGTCAATCACATATTAATGCGTTTGATCCATATCATTTCCATTACCAGAAATACTCTTTTACTATACTCTGATTTCTCACATCATTTAAACGTTTTATAGGCTAACTAGATCCCTGCATCTTTGAACTGATAAAATAATTGTGACTGCTTGACATTTTAGCAATTTTCAAATTTTTTTTGGCAATTAAAATCGTCATTTCGCCAGCAGGATTATGGCCTGTATCTCCTGCGAAATAAAACTTGGACTCACTACATGTATGTTATAGAGTTATTGCCCCTGAAATGTCATTTCTTTTGCAAATTTCATAGTTTTTGTTTATTTTCATTTAAACTATTACAGATGGAGAAAAATTTTAAACTGTCAAAATGACCAGAACGATAAGATCTATAAAATTAGTCAACATGGGCGAGTTGTCGGTTGACATAGAAGTTATTGCCCTTGGAAGACTTAATTTTTCTCATTTTTTGCAGTGTTTGTAGAAACTTTATATTAGAGAGAATTAGTAAGAAGCAAAAGTGTTCAGAAAACTTAGATCTTCAATTAAGTCATTATGGATTGATTGTCAATTAACCCCTTACAGGATTTATTGCCCTTGAAAGACTAATTTTACTAATTTTTTGCATTATTTTGTAGAAATTACAAATTTATAACAGATAGAAATTGTGAAGCAAAATAAGACCTACAAGTAAGTAAACACAATTGTCAATTGACTACTTATAGGAGCTATAGCCCTTAAAATGTGGTTTTTAACCGGATTTTCGAAGGAAATATTGGTTATTAAAATGGTGACATACAGCGGGCGGCTGGGCGGATCTACGGCGGCTGCCAAACAGCTTGTCAACAGAATAACATGAAAACGCTTAAACAAATTTTTTTCAAATTTAAATATGTTGTTTCCTGGGACTTAATGGAGGTCTGATTCAATTTTCAAGATATTAGTATATCTCCTTTGTGAGTTATTGCCATTTTTAATATCCAAAAGTGGAATTTTTAAATATTTTACTCTTGTTATCTTTTTTATGACTAAGCATAATGTCATATCTCACAAAAAAATATTGGAGTGACAGATTTATTTGAAAATTATCTATTTCTAAGTGGTAATGATTATAAGCTATATTATTAGACATTTTGAAGTTAATTATTAACCCCGAAACCATATATATTCTTGTATGGGACAATAAAACAAATCAAATGAAATACAAGGCGAGTCCCCTGGGGTCACCCCACCCCCTCTTCTTTTTGATAACTTGTAAACAGTCGAGATCCCCACCCCTTAACCATATAAATTCTTGAATGGAACAATAAAACAAATCAAATAAAATTGAGGGGAGTCCCTTGGGGTCGCCCCCACCCCCCTTTTTTTTGAAAACTTTGTAAACGGTCAAGATCCCCACCCCAAAACCATATATATTCTTGTATGGGACAATAAAACAAATCAAATGAAATACAAGGTGAGTCCCCTGGGGTCACCCCACCCCCTCTTCTTTTTGATAACTTGTAAACAGTCGAGATCCCCACCCCTAAACCATATATATTCTTGAATGGGACAATAAAACAAATCAAATGAAATTGAAGGGGAGTCCCCTGGGGTCACCCCCCACCCCCCCTTTTTTTTGAAAACTTGTAAACGGTCAAGATCCCCACCCCAAAACCAAATATATTCTTGTATGGGACAATAAAAAAAATCAAATGATATATAGGGGAAGTCCATGGGGGTCACCCCCACCACCTCATGTTTAAGAACTTGTAAACAGTCGAGGTCCCCACCCCTAAGCAATATATATTCTTGTATGGGACAATGACACAAATCAAATGAAATATAGGGGAAGTCCATGGGGGTCACCCCCACACCCTTTCTTTTTGAAAACTTGTAAACGGTCAAGATCCACACCCTGAAACTATATATATTCTTGTATGGGACAATAAAACAAATCAAATGAATTACAAGACGAGTCCCCTGGGGTCACCCCACCCCCTCTTCTTTTTGATAACTTGTAAACAGTCGAGATCCCCACCCCTAAACCATATATATTCTTGAATGGGACAATAAAACAAATCAAATGAAATTGAAGGGGAGTCCCCTGGGGTCACCCCCACCCCCCTTTTTTTTTGAAAACTTGATAACGGTCAAGATCCCCACCCCAAAACCATATATATTCTTGTATGGGACAATAAAACAAATCAAATGATATATAGGGGAAGTCCATGGGGGTCACCCCCACCCCCTCCTGTTTAAGAACTTGTAAACGGTCGAGGTCCCCACCCCTAAACTATATATATTCTTGTATTGGACAATAAAACAAATCAAATGAAATACAAGACGAGTCCCCTGTGGTCACCCCACCCCCTCTTCTTTTTGATAACTTGTAAACAGTCGAGATCCCCACCCCTAAACCATATATATTCTTGAATGGGACAATAAAACAAATCAAATGAAATATAGGGGAAGTCCTTGGGGGTCACCCCCACACCCTTTCTTTTTGAAAACTTGTAAACGGTCGAGATCCCCACCCCTAAACCATATATATTCTTGTATGGGACAATAAAACAAATCAAATGATATATAGGGGAAGTCCATGGGGGTCACCCCCACCCCCTCCTGTTTAAGAACTTGTAAACGGTCGAGGTCCCCACCCCTAAACAATATAAATTCTTGTATGGGACAATAAAACAAATCAAATGAAATATAGGGGAAGTCCTTGGGGGTCACCCCCACACCCTTTCTTTTTGAAAACTTGTAAACGGTCGAGATCCCCACCCCTAAACCATATATATTCTTGTATGGGACAATAAAACAAATCAAATGATATATAGGGGAAGTCCATGGGGGTCACCCCCACCCCCTCCTGTTTAAGAACTTGTAAACGGTCGAGGTCCCCACCCCTAAACAATATAAATTCTTGTATGGGACAATAACACAAATCAAATGAAATATAGGGGAAGTCCTTGGGGGTCACCCCCACACCCTTTCTTTTTGAAAACTTGTAAACGGTCGAGATCCCCACCCCTAAACCATATATATTCTTGTACGGGACAAAAAATCAAATCATATGAATAAAGGGAGAGTCCCCTGGGGATCACCCCCCCTTTTGAGAACTTGTTAACGGTCGAGATCTCCACCCCTTAACCATTTAAATTCCTGTTCGTAATTTCAAGAAGATTTGAATGACATACAGGGTATATCCATAGGCGTCACTAATGCATATCATAAACCAATTTGTACTGGACATTGCCCAATTTCAAGTGACAATGGGAATGACGAATTATTGGAGCTTTGTTTGGGAGACTTCATAACAGCATTCTGTTACAATTATTTCTTGTTACTGATAAGTTTTATAGATTTTGAAATGACATTGTATTAATGATAAATAAAATTTTGGATTTTTTTCTTCTTTTCTTTGGTAAATTGTTTGTAGAATTTTGTGGCAAGTTTGTTTGTTATTCTGTAAAAACTAATTTTCTGAATGCTATATATATTTTTTTTTATGAAGTAAACTCCTTTAAAAACTAAGCTTATATTGTCTATTAATAAACATAAATTTAGATTTCTGATTTTGGGCCCACTTTTCAAAGTTGGTCCAAATTGGGGTCCAAAATTAAACTGTGTTTGATTTCAACATAAATTGGATATATATAGGGTTCTTTGAAATGCTTAATCTAAACCTGTATTTCTTTTCATTATTAATAAGATAATACCACATTGAGGTCCAAAGGGTCCTAAATTACACTTTTGATTAATTTCATCAAAAATTGAATTCTTTGGTTCTTTGATATGCTGATTCTAACAATGTTTGAGTGTTAAATCATATCTAATTTTAGAGAACTTAGTCATCACTGGTTGTTGTTATTATATTATTGACTATAATTTGAAAAATTGCATCATATCCAGTTTGAGTTATTTCCCTTTGCACAGAAAATATTATGGATAAAATTAACCTGTGTTTCATTTCAACATAAATTAAATATATATAGGGTTCTTTCAAATGCTGAATCTAAACCTGATTTTAAATATTAGATTTTTGGGCCCAGTTTTCAAGTTGGTCCAAATCAGGGTCCAAAATTAAACTTTGTTTGATTCAACAAAAAAATAATTGATGGGGTTCTTTGAAATGCTGAATCTAACCATGTATTGAGAGATTTTGGATTGTGGGCTCCTTTATCAAATTGGTCAACATTGAGGTCCAAAGGGTCTTAAATTAAACTTTTGTCTGATTTCATCAAAAAGGTGAATTCTTGGGGTTCTTTGAATTGCTGATTCTAATATGTACTTAAATTTTTGATATTGGACCATAATAGGTATTTAAATGTCCAATTTCAAGTATTTCAGTTCTTAAACCACATTCATTTTGTGTCACAAACCTATGCTGTGTCAAATATTCAATCACAATCCAAATTCAGAGCTGTTTTAAGCTTAAATGTAGTGTCCATACTTGCTCAACTGTTCAGGGTTCGACCTCTGCAGGAAAATCCGGTTTGCTGTCACTCTGACAGCCTCTTGTTATCATTTTTTTTCATTTTTTGCAGAAATCATTATAGATAGAGAAAAGTTGAAATAGAAAAGATGTTGAGCAAATTAAAATGTACAAATAAGTCAATAAAAACATGGTGGAAACTGTCAACTGACTGCTTTTAGGAGATATTGCCTCTGAAAGATGATATTTTCCCATGTTTTCAGTTTTTGCAAAAACTATAAAAGATAGTGATAAACAGTAAAAAAACAAAATTGTTCAGCACAATAAAATCTACAAATCAGTCATCGTGGCTGACCTGTCAACAGACTCCTTATAGAAGTTATTTCCCCTAAATGATGATTTTTTTCCATTTTATGAATTTTTGACTTCAATGCAAACCTATTACATGTACTGGAATTAAATTTATACCTGGCATACCTCATTAAAGTACAATTTTAGACCCATCTTTTGCAACAATGAAAACATAGGATCAAGCAGCATTTTTGTGCTATTTGCATGGCCTTGTTTATAAACACTGCATATTTGCACTATATTCCTAAACTGACCCCCATTACTAGTCAACCCTATAGTAAAAAATATAAGTACATTCAGCATTATTTAAAAAAAAAAAATTTTAACTCTAGTTTTGATCCATCTTATCAAAAATATTTATTACAAATATTATCTACCAATCAGTGGAGCACATTGTTATCCAGAAAACTTTCCCCTATATGGACGGTCTTAAATGACGTATATTTATTTACTGAAGTTACACTTATAGAAGTTGGAGAGAAACTTTAAAAAGCGAAAAGGATCAGCAAAAATAAGATCTGCAAGTACATGTAAGTCAACATGGCCAAATTGTCACACTAGTTATAGAATTTATTGCCATTAAATGACGTTATTTTTTTATCTCAAAAACTTTAAAAGATACATGTAGGTATACACTGTAAACATTAAAAATTATCACCAAATGCCACTAAATCAGACCTACAAGTAAGCAAACATAACTGAGATTGCAATAAAGAAAAAAAAAAAACAAATATCAAAATCCCTAGTTTAAACCCTGATTTTAATGGCATATTTTTTACCAGGTGAGCAATTCAAGCGCTTGAGAGCATAGTTGTTGTTTTATCATTACTCAGGCCATTGGTTTTCTCACAAAGATTGGTCTAATATTGTTTGGGAATAGTGTATGGTCCAATTATGAATGGTGAAATGGGAAGTTTACAAGGATCAAAGACAGGGCTTCATCATGCACAGGAACTACATTCATATTTCTTGCATCATCATCAGTTCGTGAAGATTCAAAATGACAAATTAAAAAGTAAATTCATACAACGGCCTAGCCACAATCAGATGTACATTTCATATTAGGTCTATGTTATAGGCTTCTATAGACAAGAAGATGAACTTAATTTAAGTATTACATCTTTGAACTGAAGGAAAGAATATAGGGCTTCACAATGCATATCAAATATCATGTATATGTGTGACCATTTTGAAAAAAAACCACTAAATACACGCTAAAAATGGGCAAAATTTCACGTTATGTTGTTTCATTTAAAAATACACTGTTTTTATAAATTGATAGTTTATAAGTGAACCTAATTTGAACTACATTATTGGTTCACTGTTATAGACAATTTATTCATCTTTCTTTTGCTGGTTGTTGCAACGAAAACTCTTCAGTGGTTACAAAGTTATGATAAAAAGTGGAATACTATGCGTTCGTTATGCAATTTTGTATTTTTGTTTTTCCCTTGTATAGTGTAGTAATAAAAGAGAAAAATAAATGAAATTTATGCTATTATGTGTTTTATTTTCTGTTTTCTCTTCTTGTATATGAATTAGCAACAACTACCTCATATATCTATATTGCAGTACCGTAGCTGGAGATATATGCCATCTAAAATGGATATACAAATAAAGTGAAAAAATGTCTTGTCCGTAGACATGCATTTCCTAGTAAACTTGAAGTGTAATAACATAAATGTTGCATTGCTAAGTTCCTGCTCTTTTGTAGATATGAAAACACTACAAACATTAATTTCTACCATCTTTTAATAGAGGAAGAGTTTAAAAAAATGTCAGAATGTCTTGTCCGTAGACACATGTCTTGTCCGTAGACATGACTTTATATCAATATTGCTTGGCTTTATGGATCTAAATTGTTCCTATGTGTTGTTTAAACTTAGAAATGTATTATTTTTGATTAATTAATGGTTATTTAACTGTTCTCATTTTTTGTAAAATTACTTTACAGGAGTGGATTTTAAAAAGTGGCAAATTGTCAGTCATAAAAAGCATACCTTATTTTACTTCAATATTAGTATTCCAGTTTCTTCACAACTTAAAAGATAAACTTAATCAAATGAAGAAATAGTATTTCGCTCTCTCTGACTTTATCTTTTGCATTTAGGATTACCAGCAGATGAGGAAATGTCTACGGACAAGACACTTGTACATAACAAGTATTAAATTCAATTGTTTGTCTACTTAGGAACTTAAATCTAATTTATAGGTGATGAAAGTTCTTTGAACACATTAAAACTCAGTATTTTCAACATAAATACAATCACAATTATTTCTAACAGATTGTTTATTCAACTGAAATTGTCTTGTCCGTAGACATTACCGCAATCTATTTGTTTCCAATTTCCTTGAGTTCAGCCTCATTTGACAGATAAAATGTATGTTATTTTTTCAAGAGAACACATTCAACTATGTCAAAATTGAGTTTTAACAAAAGCTTGATTGTTAAACAGTCAGACTTATGGATTTCAGTTGAAAGAATGTGTCTTCATTTTTGCTTAATCAATAAAATTTTGAGATATGTAAAGAATCTTGGGTACATTTTTATATTTTCCAAAAATTAAAAAACACAGCTTAAAATTATATGGGTAACTTAATCTTAATTTTAACAAATATCTTTTTAATGCATTTAATTAAATATCAATAAAATGTCTTGTCCGTAGACATTATCACAATGTATTTGTTTCCAATTTCCACGAGGTTCAGCATCATTTGATGGATAAACATGATAAAATGTATGTTATTTTGTCAAGAGAACATATTCAACTATGTCAAAATTAAGTTTTAATGATGCATTTAATTAAATATCAATAAAATGTCTTGTCCGTAGACAAAACATATAAATTGTATTTCTAACTTTGATTGTTTATTGTCAGAATATGCATCAAGTTATTTTAATGTTCTATACACCAAAAGAAAGGTTTTTTTTTGAAGTTTTGTTATTAATAGATTATTTTAGAAATAGTTTGATCAGATCAGAGTAATGATCAAAGAAAGCTACTGTTGTTTGAAATAATTGTGAGTTAAACATGTTCTTGTCATTTTTTTTTCGATTAAAATGTTTGATATTCAATAATTCTAAACATATTTTGTTGTCTTTGTGATTGGCCAAAAATTTGAAACTGGTGACCATGTCTTGAAGGCAACCATTAAAGAAAATTAGACAGTTTTAAAACACCATTTATTTAATAAAAATATTAAATATTTCTTCCCAAAACTGCATGTAATTATATAAATGCTTCAAGTGTTAGCCTTATGATGGCCATTTTTCATAATTTAAACCATTTCTGTACCAAAATATCAAAAGGGTTTTTGCCTGATGTGATCTTCATTTTTGACTTCACGTGAAACACAAAATGTACATCTGATTGTGGCTAAGCCGACAAGGTATTTCCTGCTATCAGAAGCTAGAATGTATGTTATTTAGCAGACTAGGCCAGATGGCACTTTAATTGTGTTATGCTGTTGCTACATATCCCCATTTACTTTTATTCAGCTGTATTACTATAATAATAATATTGATTATCATTAAGGTACATTGTACATTACATTGTGATTATGGTAATGGTAATGATAAAATATTCATTTGAAAAGAAATATTAAATCTAAAGATTTGATTATTTTTATCTTTATGATGAAAGTGTTGCACATATTTAATTACATGTAAAAAAAAAGCCATGCAACAAAATGTTTAATTATTTTTTTCATCAATCTTTCAGAATGATGGTAATTGTAGATTCATAGAACATAACTTTGAAGCACAACTGACCAATCCCATGAAGCTGACAAAGAATGACAAACAACTAACAAATCAGTGAAGCTAACACAGAATGACAAATAACTGACAAATCAGTGAAGCTGACACAGAATGACAAATAACTAATAAATCAGTGAACTGACACAGTATGACTAACAACTGGCCAATCAGTGAGCCTGACTCACTTGAAGATCTGTGTGTGCAAGCATGTGTTAACAATGTGCAAACTTTAGCTGTGAAAACAGATGATCAACAATATGAGCTGAAACCAGGAGTTTGTTTACTGGTTCCCAGTCTATGTGACAAGCTGTTCAAAAATTTATTAGAATCTCAATCAGAGAACACATCCAGAGATCTTTCAAACTTGTTTTCCAGCAATGTACCATATCTGCCATGGTTAAGGATATTTGCTGACACTGAAAACACCAGACTATGCAAAGTATACCTTAGAAAAAGTCTATTACATAAAATGTATCCAAGCAATCTAATAGAACTAGTACTGAATCATCCACTTAAACAACTGGAGTTGGTAAACTGCTCCTTTTCATGTGATATATTTAATTTGATCAGTTCTTCCAAGGCTGGACATTCATTACTGTCTCTGAGTATAGAAGACAGTGTTGACAGTGCTCTGAAATTACATTTCAAAGCTCTAGACTTGCAACCTGGTGACACTATACCCCATATCAAACTTGAATGTCCACATCTACAGAGGTTGGTTCTGCGTGATATGAGAGAACACGATTTAGGTTTACTGCCAGGATGTGAAATTGTGCATTTATTCTCACAACTGACACATTTGGATCTCTCTAGATGTATCTTGTCAAGCACTGCTGTAAAATCAATGACACAATGTCAAAATCTAGTCTGGTTAAATTTAAACTGTGTAGAATACCAATCACATGCTGACTTTGTTACAAGTATATGCAGAATTACTAAACTGAGGTAAGCTTTAGCTTATTGCAACACTGTATATGACTTCATGGTGGTCTTATATACAGTAGGCAAAATTGAAGACTTTGTTATTTACTTTAAGAATACAGCATAAAAATATGTATATGTGGAAAAGACAAAATAAAAATTGCCTAGAAAACATCTCACAACACAATAGCAGTTTCCCAAGTAATCTCAAACTGCATCATGTGATTTGAAATAGAACAGTTTTCCTTACATTATTTTATAGCAGCACATGTACATTTATAAAACTTTTTATTATCAACTTTAGGCACCAAGGCATAATGCTGATATAAGGCTCTTCGGATAACACTGACTGTCTAATCGTAAATTATTAAAATGATCTGTAAGACGTCACATACATTCATGACATTTTAAAGTGCAGGACTACTTGCTGTAATTAAAGCGCAAAATGGGATTATGTTCATAAACATGATAAAGTAATGTATTTGAATTTTGAATTTATAAGTAATAATGTGAATTTTGTATAGATATTATTACATACCAAAGAGAATAAAAATACTTTATTCTTGTTATTAACCAATCTACTTTATAAAAAATTGATTTGCAGTTTTATATACTTTTCAGGCATTTAGATATATCATCTGATGCTGGTATCATTCAGTGTAACTACCCAAACAGTTCTACATTCAATCCAGAATTAATACTTACAACCCTGGTATCTCACCTACCCCATCTGGTATCCCTTGATATATCAGCTACTAATCTAGCAGGTAGAGATACAGCACCAAGGTCATTCAAACTAGAGGCCAAAGCAGCAGGGGACTTCAAGGAGTAAGTTTAACATAGAAATTAATAACCCTCAACTTTAAGTATTTTCTATCAAAGCTCACCATGCTATATACAGCTTTCTCCTCAAAACACCCGAGGTCTCTGTCATAAAACATTACTCAGTACTAAGAGTTCAAAATTTGTGCTCAAATCATCAAAACCAGTATTTTGACTGGATGATTTATGAGTCCGAGTATGTCAAAACAATACATAGCATGACAGATGCCAATGAAATTTGAATTTGGGCGGTGTCACTTTTACTGTTCTAGAGTTTTGCCCCTTTACAAATGGAAATAATGTTGAATTTTTCGTTCCGTTCTTTTACTTTGGTTTGCCTCAACCAAATCTTATGAAACTTATTCACAATGCTTATTACCACAAAACACAGATCAAGTTTGAATTTAAGTGGTGTCACTTTTATTTTCTAGGGTTATGCCTTTTACAAATGGACAAATTGTTGAATTTTTCATTTACGTTCTCTAACTTAAGTTTGCCTCAACCAAATGTTATGAAACTTATACACAATGCTTATTTCCACAAAACTCAGTTCACATTTGAATTTGGATGGCGTCATTTTTACTGTTCTTGAGTTATGTTCCTTTATAACATTATATGCAAGCGGAGGCATCAGCTGTGTCCCATGGACACATTCTCCATTTATTTTTTAAACTACTACAAGACATTTCTTTTTAATTGACTGAAAGTATATCAAATTGTAGACTCAAAACATTCAAATTTGGTAAATTTATCCGTTTTTTAACAAATTGATATCGGTAGTTGCCATTAGGAGAGAATGAGTCTTATTTTGTGTTAGACTAGTGTCAGAGGTCAAAATCACATGATAGTATCATGGACAAAGCTTGTAGCTATCTTGTACAGTAGCTCCAAATCTTCATCAAACATACATTATGTACAATGTTACTAAATTCTTTATCAAGGGCAGAAGTCAAAAGTCAGTTTTACACGATAGCATTATGGAAAATATCCATTCTGATTTTGTGGGATGTTAGTAGGAGATGTTGCGCTCTCTGCTGTGCAACAAACATGATTTATAAAGTTAATGAATCTGTTTTGCTTTTCAGTTCAGAAAGATGTTGCATACCAGGACTGGAAGGACGCCATTTTGAATTTCTTGGCCTATATAACTGTCCTTTTGAGTCATACAGAAGAGAAAATATTCCAGCTCAACAGGTAAAGTAATTATGTCCATTAAAAAGTTTAAAGTTCATTTTTGCTGTGTTGATCCAAATTTTGTTTGTCAATTGTATTAATGATACCAGGCTTAAGTTATATCATACCAAACACACATTTAGTCTACATAAGAATCTTCAGTGGTGCTCAAATAGAATAAATTGGAAAGTTGAAGAGCATGTTTAACCCACTGCATTTGTTTGCACCTGTCTTAAGTCAGGAACCTGTTGTTCAGTGGTTGTCGTTTGTGGATGCGGTTCATAAGTGTTTCTCGTTTTTTATATAGATTAGACCGTTGGTTTTCCTGTTTGAATAGTTTCACACTAGTCATTTTTGGGGCCCTTTATAGCTTGCTGTTCGGTGTGAGCCAAGGCTCCGTGTTGAAGGCCGTACTTTGGCCTATAATGGTTTACTTTTACAAATTGTGACTTGGATGGAGAGTTGTCTCATTGGCACTCATACAACCTCTTCTTATATCTATTGTTATAAATTCCAAAACATTGTGCCAAATATGGCTACAGCCAATGTCTGACGAAAAAGCAAGATTGTGATCTTCTGATCAATTGAAAATGTTTTTTATGCTTGAATGGTACATTTTTACCTGTTTGCATAAAGTAAGGCAAAATATGACATTTATACAATGAAAACATACCGTAGATTAAATAGTGGCAAACAAGCTGAAAGAAGGCCCTTTATCAGTCTAAGCCAAAAGTTAAAGTTTTTATTTCCTTCCACAAATCAAACATCAAAATTTCAATTTATGGTGCTTATGTATTTTTGCATGCTTTTTTTTTCTCAGCTGCTAAAGATACATAAAATGCTGGAACTTGGTACATGTTAGAAAGACTAACAGACTTGCAGCATAAATAGGAAAAAAAACCTCCTTTTGACTCAATAAAAGTTAAGAATAAGAGTGATGTTGATCCAGGGTTTTTATATTAATAACACATAGCTGAGAGGGTGATAGAGCAGATTGTTACCCTGAGAAAACATTGTCAACTGAGGTGAAGCCAAGCTTGACAATGTCTTTTCGAGGGATAACAATCTTCTCTATCATCCTCTTAGATATGTGTTATTTAATTTATTATACTGAATGTTCTGTTATTACTGTCTATAAAATTTCAAGTTCAAAGTAATAAACTATGACGTCTTGTACATACTATTCATCTGTATTTAATAAAGGGCACATTTGATTAAGCGTCTCCATGAAGGGTAATAGAGTATTTGCCATGGGATAGAGTAAACTATCTCCCTCATATTAACCAATCAAAATCTGGCATTTTGACATGAGTACATGTATAATAAAATTTATTATGCCAGTCATAAAAAAGATTTTTTACTGTCATGACTGTTAGCTTCATTATATTTTTGTAATGTTCTGATAGCATTTTAATTGGAACTGTTGTTTCGAGTGCATGTACTATATACAAAAAAAAAAAATTGTCATTAAAAAATAACTTGAATAAGCAAGATTAATTGTTCATAAATTATTTCTTCTACTCTAATTATAGATTACAGGAAGTAAGAATGAAGAACAGCTCCTCCTAGCTTTACGTAGATATGTAGACAGACGTGATGATTTGAATGACGTATTAAACCATCTGTTTACCTTGTTTAAGGAAGAAACAGTAGTAAACCAATCAGTAGCTTTAGAGGTAGAAAAGTATTTTATTATGTACTTTTTTTATCGCTTCAAACATATATATTTAAAATGATTTTTTTCTGTATTGGATAAATTTAATTTGATCGGTAGGACACATTACAAACCATTTTACTTATCTAGAAAATCTGTTGTCATGTTGCAACGGACAGAAACTTAATTGACTCTGCATACTTCATGTATAGTTATGTTAACACTTTTATTTAATGCATAATTATTCCAGTAAATATAGAGCAATTCATTGTTTAAAAACATTGTTAAAACGGAGAATCCAAAAAATCTTATATTTGTGTCATTAGTTTTCTCTAAGGAAAAAGGAAAATGTTATGTAATGTATCTAAAATTTTAAACCATAAGGAAATACAAGACTTGTAAATCTTGTGCACAAATATGTTGGTCAAAGAGAATATATTTTTAGAGATGATCAATGCTCATTTTTACTTCAACTTGTTAAAGAAATGATTTTTTGGTAATTCTTGACTTTCAAACACAATGGAAGGTTGGCACAAATCTGTAGGAATCTTTATTTTTGCAATTCCAAAACCAAAATCTGTTGTTGAAATGGTCACATGATGGCCTCTGTCTGATTCTTGTGTTGGAAGACTGCCTTTTTGTGTATGCAAATTTTGGGAAAAATTTTCTATTGAAGAGATTTTAAGCCATGTTTTTAGACCAAATTTGGCAGCATTGTTAATAACTTATTGCTTTCAAATATAAATTGATGGCCTGCTAGTTATAGATGACTGATACAAATGTTAACACCATCACCACCAAACACCGTTTTAATGTGTACATAAGATTATTCAAGTGCATTAATGTGTTTTAAATATAATCAAATATTATCTAATCTTGGGATTGGTTCTACAGTAACCTCAATATCTACTAAGTAAATCAATAGTATGTGAATATTACTAACTTGGGTTGTACAGCATGCAGACTGAGAGATGTACCTGAGATTACCCCATGGTATTTGGTGGGGTTTGACTCGTATTGCTCAGTGTTTAGTTTTCTATGTTGTGTTTTGTGTACTGTTGTTTGCCTTTTCATTGTTTTTTGCTTCTTACCACTGCATTGTCAGTTTCTTTTAGACTTATGGATTTGAATGCCCCTTTGGTATCTTTTGCCTCTTTTAGTATTATATAATAAGTTAATTCATGTCACCATAATACCCTTTCTAGCAACTTTGGAATATTACTAAGCTTTGCATCTTTCAAATCTATGCATTGTATTTTCATATTTTTTGAAGAGCAGACTTTTAAGATGTGTAGACTTGCAATAGAGCACTGAAGGTGAAAACACATGCTACTGGACAGACAATGGTGTTTTTAATCTTCATGTTTACTGTAAATTCAGAAATTAATGGGATGTTTTATTAATGCAAAAAATGTAACAGTTTCAGGTTCACAATAAATAAAAACTCTCATTCATAATTTCAGTAGTAATTTCATTCATAAAATTTTTGCAATCACATTAATTAGATTTCACATTTTTGCCAGTAGTCAAAGATTTGCAATAATAAATGCATGCATTAATGTCTGAATTTACTGCAATTTGTTTTATTATTCTACCACTTAAAGAATAATTTAATTTTTTCAAGACATACTAAAGTTCAAAGAAGATTATACTATAAGTCTTTTGCTAATTCACTTATTGTTTATATAGATAATTCATCATCCCAAAATATTTTTTTTATTATTTTCAGGGAATTCTAGCAGCAATGAAAAGACATAAAGATGATAAGCATATACAGATATCTGGGAGGTAAGAATACAGAATATTTCTACAATAATCTTGTTACTACTTTTAGCAAGTAATGTTGAAAATACATAGTGAGTCTTATTATATGTCTTGACCACCATCAAAAGAATGGGAGGGAACTAGACCACCATCAAAAGAATGGGAGGGAACTATTTTCCCTATTATAGGGTTGTTCTGCTTATTAATTTGAAAATCAATGGTTAAATTAATCATGTCACTCAGGGTTTATGAAGAGTAGTAAAAGTATCACTGCAGAAATTTAAATGAAGTATCTTAAAATGGGTTTTCAAATTCTCTCTCTCAAAATTTATTTCAGTTCTTTCACAAAAGAAAAGGTTAAGATCAGATTATTTTGTAATTGAGTACAATGTCCTGACAATGAATTATAAAACTTTTGATAAGATTTCAATTGAACTTTGTATTCAACATGAGTTACGGTAGAAATTCAGATTTCACATTTTAGATGACTGTTTGTTAGCTGTGCACAAATAAACAATATTTAAGGCAATGTCTTTATCTACCTTTTATGGATTGGAATGCTTAATCTAAACACAGAGATAAATATGTTCTTGCCTTGTGAAAGAAAATCTAGTTTTCTTCAATAAAAAGGGAAAATAAAATTTGATTACATAGCTAGTAGTTAATCATGTATAAGTAAAGAAATCTAAAATATGTGTATTTTGTTTGTATATTATGTTTTCATGATAAAAGTGTTCAATTGTATTTTCTGGTTTTGCAGTGCCTCACTGTTTTATATAATGAAAGGTGAACAGAAGTCCTACATCACTCAGAAGCAGAAAAGGTATTGCTGATCATTCTATAACAATTATGAATTGAAAAGACAGATATTGTTAGATGCGCACAAGAGATAATCATTTTTCAATTTGTGTATGAATAAAAGAAGATAAGGAGTATACATCAACGAAACAGCACTCCAAAAGTACAAAAAACAAAATTACAAAAAACAAAAGGAAATGTCTTTTGCAAAAAGCAATAAATTCCTCTCAGGAGACTAATTTTTCAGAAGACAATATCCAAAATCTCTAAACATGTTTTTTTGAAGAATGTACACAAATGCCATGAAATATTAAAACTTCAAATTAAACTGTATCTTTCTGACACATTTTGTTATTTATTATTCATCTGATAGTCTCATCACTTCATTATTTAACTTTTGGGCTATGTTTGTCAGGTTACAAGGTAATGCTACAAGAAACTAGGAATGACAAAGGACCATTTTGGCATCATTTTCTTGAAGTTGTTAATGTACATATATACTAGTCTTGAGAGGTAGAATCTATATCACACCATAATTATATGGATTATGCTATAGATTTGAAATAAGTTATCAAAATGTTCATAAAAGGGTTGTTTCTCGGAGAATTAAGTAACATTACAAGTTTGCAACCTTAAAGATATTTTTTGGAATTATACAACAGGTCAGTATAAAGTTATGGGACATTGTTTTTGCTTAAGCTTATAATTTATTAGATAACTATATATAGCTAGCTATAGTTATATCCCCATGCCAAAAGAGAGGTAAACTGTTTTAACCCTGTCTATTTGTCCATGTGTCTCATGAAATTTCTGTCTCATTTTTCTAATTAACTACATATTTCAGCATTTGGTTTCAGGCTTTATATTAGCATGCTATATTTGACATTCATCACTGATCAACTTAGTTACTTCCTGTTTACTGAATACTTATATATTATTGCACAAAATGACTATGAAATGTTTGTCACATTTTTCTCAGAAACTACATATTAGAATTTTCTGAAATTTGGTATCAAGCTACATGTAAACATTCTATACTGTGTGATGCATTTTCAGATTCATAGCTTATCAACTTCCTATTTACTGAAAACTTATATATTCTGATACATAATGGTCATTTATTAGTTAGTTGGAGTGTTTCACATGGTTCCCCAAATCTTAATGTTTTAAGTCAGTCGGCTAGCCTTGAACGAAATTTTGTCACATTTTTTATGTCCCACCTACGATAGTAGTAGGGGCATTATGTTTTCTGGCCTGTGTGTCCATTCGTCCGTCCATCCATCCATCTGGCCATCTGTCCCGGTTTCAGGTTAAAGTACTTGGTCAAGGTAGTTTTTGATGAAGTTGAAGTCCAATCAACTTGAAACTTAGTACACATGTTTCCTATGATATGATCTTTCTTATTTTAATGCCAAATTAGAGTTTTGACCCCAATTTCACGGTCCACTGAACATAGCAAATGATAGTGTGAGGTGGGGCATCCGTGTACTGTGGACACATTCTTGTTTCTCAGGAACTTTGGAGAATAATGTCAGGCTTCCTGTTAGCATACTGTACCGTTTTATTTGTTTTCACGTCAGTTGCTCATCAACTTCCTGTTTACCTATAACAGGGGTATCATCTGTGAGCCTGAGTTTGCATTTCAACTTGTTGTGTAAGAATATTATATTTGTTCATATTCAACAATTTCAATATTTTAGATAAGTTTACTACTCTATATAGGCTTTACTTATTATTTTATTAATGACACCTATCTCTTTATGTTTTAGAGTGTTAATAAATTGTTTACTAGAGGGAATGGAAGATCCAGAGGCTGATAATGTTGTAAGTTTTGAATATATGTAATTTCTTTTCTCAAAAAAAAGCTTGCAGTACTTGGATGATAGATACTCGGAAGATAGATATATGATGAGACAACAACTTTATGAACTATTAAGAAAACCTGCATATAAATATAAGACATCTTATCTTTTTTATGTCCCCGCCGTAGCGGAGGGGGCATTAAGTTTTACCCTTGTCTGTCCGTACGTATGTACGTACGTCCCAAAATTTGTTTACAGTTCTTGAGTTATATCCCTTTATAACGTTATATGCAAGCGGGGGCATCATCTGTGTCCCATGGACACATTCCCCATTTATTTTTAATTTAGATGATCTTTACTTGGTATGTTACAGATGTAGGTGTCATTAGAAAATAGAATTAATGACATTATTAAAAAAATATTTGTTGGATCAGATGTTGCTTTCTAGTTTTAATTATTTAAAAAAATTGTGTTCCTTGCTGCATATTGATGGTTAATTAAAATTTTTTGTTTCAAAATGCCAGATATTCATAAGAGATTTGACCAATCTGTTGTTAAGATTATTTCAAAGAAAGGCAAAGCAATTTTACACATTCAAAAACTTAATTAAAACCTCTGAAGATTCTTGGTTTATATACTAAACAGTCTGTTTGTCTGTCTAGATTGACTTATCTGTATTTAAACCTTTATATGCACAACTCATTAATAGTTTAATTGACTGTAGCTAAACTTTACAGAAAAGTTATAGAATGGCAAGATTGTCTTGTAAAAGTAAAAGGAGTGTAAGCAACTTAATCATTATTGGTCATCTGGGTAGCCATTTTAATTATATATGAATATGTAATAGTACTTTAAATATTGTTTCTATGATCCATCCAGTCAATTTTCATCACATGCAATGTAACATTTAACAACACTGAATCTATGATCTACAGATATTGTTAGTTCATGTATATATTAGATGGACAATTTTCAAAGTTGGAGGTAATATTGGTTTTTGGTTCTTGAGAAAAAGAGGTGGAAGATACCAACAGTGGCAATGAAATCTCAAAGGTCATAGAAAGGCCAACAAAACATATGGCAAAAGAATAAAAGATAAACAATAGTCTACAAATCACTACATAGATTGATTGATTAATTGATTGGTGTTTAACACCACTTTCAGCACTATTGTGCTATTTTGTGGCAGTCAGCTTTTATTGGTGGAGGAAGCTGGAGTGCCCAGAGAGAACCACAACCTTTGGCAGGAAAACTGACAATCCGTGTCAATTGAGATCGGAGTCGAACGCACCTGCCTTGTGCAGGATTCAAACTCACAACCTCAGTGTTGACAGGCTATTGATACAGTAGTTGGACTACTTAAACCACTTTGCCATTGAGGCCCAAACACTACATAGAAAATTGAAGACTATGCAACAGTTGCATTTAAGCATCCAATGGAAAATTTACATTTTGTTGAGCACTTGATTCCATAGCTGTATTAAATTACAAAATCTATGAAAATTGATAAGCCTACCTATCATTGTATTTCACAATCTTCAAAATGGTTACAGTTTTATATGATTTTTTTTCAGATGATAAGAAATTGTTGTTTGACTTTATGCCACCTTACAATGCCACAGGATGTTGTGAGTATATCTGTCTTTTAGGAGAAAAAAGAGGAAATTCAAGAAAACATTAGCAATATTGTCACAAAAAAGTCACAACTCTTTTCTGTAGGTACATTCAAATCAAATGATTATGAGAATTGGACTGTCAAAAGTAAGATATATGGATAATAAAATTATTTGAAGAATTGACACTTTATTACTGATTATCTTATTACGATTTAAAGGATATATGGGATATATCAATGAGACATGCAAAAGGATACAAAAAAAAGGAAATGTACATTGTTATGAACTATCAATTATGAGTGAAACACTAAGCATAATGGTTTGACAATCTTACTTACTATAGTTTACTACATTGTACTTAAAATATAAAAATAAGAAGATATTGTATGATTGCCAATGAAACAACTCTCCACTACAGAACAAATGACGTAGAAGTTAGCAACTTTAGATCACCATACGCCTTCAACAATGATCAAAACCCATATCGCATAACAAGCTATAAAAAGCCCCAAAATGACAAATATAAAACAATTCAAGCAAGAACACTAACAGCCTGATTATGTACATGCAAATAAAAGTACTTCTAGAGACAGTCATTACACTGTAACAAGAGGCAATTTGACAATGCAATGACCAACAAAATATTGACCTTATATAAAGTGAAGCTTGTATCTTCAAATGTATCAATCACCACATTGTAATAGTTTTGACCCATTTAAAAATATTCCAGTAAGTCTTAATATTTTGACCTGATACTTGGTACAATAAATTTCCTTTACTTTACTTCCTTTACTAGACCAAACAGTTTTTTCTGGCTTTACACTGCTTTTTATTGACTTTGTTAAAGTTGATTGCACCCTCGTATTAACAAATAGAAAGGTAGCATTTTAACATGAAGTATAATAATCTAAATTGTTTCAGTTGTATTGTTACCGTAGAATGATTTCAACATTACTAAATTTAAACCATGAAGATGGACAAGAAGAGTTCATTCAAAGAATCACACTGTATATGATCAACCACCTTGCTTGTCAAGTAGACGGGGAAGAGAAGAAAGTTGTTGGGGATTTAGGTGCAATTCAGGTAAAACATACACTTAAACTTTTTGTTAATACTTAAATTTCACCTGGGTACTGGTAGACTGCCAGAAAAGTTAAGTTGAGAAGGGTCCTGATTAATGGAGGGGGTGCGGTAATATAAAAAATATAAGGAAATAATGCAGGAAGTAGAAAGGTACACCTACTTGCCCCTCACTGTTATTCCACAAATAATTTTATGATTGATGTGAAGTTTTTTGGAAAAAAGAGGATAACTTAACAATTTATTTCTCTTTTATTTAGATAATGTTGGATACAATTCTTAATAGACTGAATGACAATAATTGTGATGAAATCATGGAAATGGCATGGAGTACAATGTGGAATGTCACAGGTTAGTATGTAGAATTTGATATGTCATGGAAATGGCATCGTAATAGTTTTGACCCGTAAGAAAATGTGCATTATTACAGGTTAGAATGTTAATTTTGATAAGTCATGTTAATGGCATGGAGTATAATGTGGAATATTACAGGTTAGTATGTAGATTTCGATAAGTTATGGAAATGGCATGGAGTACAATGTGGAATGTCACAGGTTAGTATGTAGATTTTGATTAGATCATGGAAATGGCATGGAGTACAATGTCAAATGTCACAGGTTAGAAGGTTGATTTTGGTTAGATCATGGAAATGACATGGAGTACAATGTGGAATGTGACAGGTTAGTATGTAGAATTTGGTTAGATCATGGAAATGACATGGAGTACAATGTGGAATATGACAGGTTAGTATGTAGAATTTGGTTAGATCATGGAAATGACATGGAGTACAATGTGGAATATGACAGGTTAGTATGTAGAATTTGGTTAGATCATGGAAATGACATGGAGTACAATGTGGAATGTGACAGGTTAGAAGGTAGATTTTGGTTAGATCATGGAAATGACATGGAGTACAATGTGGAATGTCACAGGTTAGTATGTAGAATTTGGTTAGATCATGGAAATGAAATGGAGTACAATGTGGAATATGACAGGTTAGTATGTTGATTTTGGTTAGATCATGGAAATGACATGGAGTGCGATGTCGAATGTCACAGGTTAGTATGTAGAATTTGGTTAGATCATGGAAATGACATGGAGTACAATGTGGAATGTCACAGGTTAGTATGTAGAATTTGGTTAGATCATGGAAATGACATGGAGTACAATGTGGAATGTGACAGGTTAGAAGGTAGATTTTGATTAGATCAGGGAAATGACATGGAGTACAATGTCGAATGTCACAAGTTAGAATGTAGATTTTGGTTAGATCATGGAAATGACATGGAGTACAATGTGGAATGTGACAGGTTAGAAGGTAGATTTTGATTAGATCATGGAAATGACATGGAGTACAATGTGGAATATGACAGGTTAGAAGGTAGATTTTGATTAGATCATGGAAATGACATGGAGTACAATGTCGAATGTGACAGGTTAGTATGTAGAATTTGGTTAGATCATGGAAATGACACGGAGTACAATGTGGAATGTGACAGGTTAGAAGGTAGATTTTGGTTAGATCATGGAAATGACATGGAGTACAATGGTGAATGTGACAGGTTAGTATGTAGAATTTGGTTAGATCATGGAAATGGCATGGAGTACAATATGGAATGTGACATGTTAGTTTGTGTGTTGGTTAGTTTAGCAGTAGAAGCTAACATATTATGTGATCTGTTTAGCAATAAGAATGAATGCTTCCAGGAAAAACTATTAATGTCTAACAAAATATATTTAAAAAAAAACCAAAATAGATGTAAATAAGGCAATAATCCAGGTACATACAGATACATAGAATAGAAATAAGTAAACACTGGGAAATTTGTAGCATCATCTACAATGTAAAGCTTAAATGTAACCTGTACTGATATCTAAAAAAATAATGTTTGGTTTCTGTTATGAATTTAATTTTGTCTTTGTAAGAATGATTTAGATCCATTTAATGCCTTTTGTGTGAACTTGTGTTAATAGGCTGCTGTCTCAATTACATATTCCCAAATCTCCATTTATATAAAAATAAGAAGATGTGGAATGATTGCAAATGAGACAATTCTCCACCAGAGACCAAATGACATAGAAGTTAATAACTACTTTAGGTCACCATACGCCTTCAACAATGAGCAAAACCCATACCGCATAGTCAGCTATAAAAGGCCCTGAAATGACAAATGTAAAACAATTCAAATGAGAAAAATAACGGCCTGATTTATGTACAAAACAATGAACGAAAAACAAATATGATATACCGTACGTATTCCCAAATTTTCAATTTAACCATGCTTTGACTGGTGATGGAAATAAAATCATTAAAATAAGTTTGATTTCAACCTCTACAAAGAAATACACATGTTTGTATGTAGATTTAGATAAGTTATGGAAATGGCATGGAGTACAATGTGGAATGTCACAGGTTAGTATGTAGATTTTGATTAGATCATGGAAATGGCATGGAGTACAATGTCAAATGTCACAGGTTAGAAGGTTGATTTTGGTTAGATCATGGAAATGGCATGGAGTGCAATGTGGAATGTGACAGGAAAGTATGTAGATTTTGGTTCGATCATGGAAATGACATGGAGTACAATGTGGAATGTCACAGGTTAGTATGTAGAATTTGGTTAGATCATGGAAATGACATGGAGTACAATGTGGAATGTGACAGGTTAGTATGTAGAATTTGGTTAGATCATGGAAATGACATGGAGTACAATGTGGAATGTGACAGGTTAGTATGTAGAATTTGGTTAGATCATGGAAATGACATGGAGTACAATGTGGAATGTGACAGGTTAGTATGTAGAATTTGGTTAGATCATGGAAATGACATGGAGTACAATATGGAATGTGACAGGTTAGAAGGTAGATTTTGATTAGATCATGGAAATGACATGGAGTACAATGTCGAATGTCACAAGTTAGAAGGTAGATTTTGGTTAGATCATGGAAATGACATGGAGTACAATGTGGAATGTGACAGGTTAGAAGGTAGATTTTGATTAGATCATGGAAATGACACGGAGTACAATGTCAAATGTGACAGGTTAGTATGTAGAATTTGGTTAGATCATGGAAATGACATGGAGTACAATGTGGAATGTGACAGGTTAGAAGGTAGATTTTGATTAGATCATGGAAATGACACGGAGTACAATGTCGAATGTGACAGGTTAGTATGTAGAATTTGGTTAGATCATGGAAATGGCATGGAGTACAATATGGAATGTGACATGTTAGTTTGTGTGTTGGTTAGTTTAGCAGTAGAAGCTAACATATTATGTGATCGGTTTAGCAATAAGAATGAATGCTTCAAGGAAAAACTATTAATGTCTAACAATATATATTTAAAAAAAAACCAAAATAGATGTAAATAAGGCAATAATCCACATACATACAGATACATAGAAAAGAAATAAGTAAACACTGGGAAATTTGTAGCATCATCTACAATGTAAAGCTTAAATGTAACCTGTACTGATATCTAAAAAAAATAATGTTTGGTTTCTGTTATGAATTTAATTTTGTCTTTGTAAGAATGATTTAGATCCATTTAATGCCTTTTGTGTGAACTTGTGTTGATAGGCTGCTGTCTCATTTACATATTCCCAATTCTCCATTTATATAAAAATAAGAAGATGTGGAATGATTGCCAATGAGAAAATTCTCCACCAGAGACCAAATGACATAGAAGTTAATAACTACTGTAGGTCACCATACGCCTTCAACAATGAGCAAAACCCATACCGCATAGTCAGCTATAAAAGGCCCTGAAATGACAAATGTAAAACAATTCAAATGAGAAAAATAACGGCCTGATTTATGTACAAAACAATGAACGAAAAACAAATATGATATACGTATTACCAAATTTTCAATTTAACCATGCTTTGACTGGTGATGGAAATAAAATCATTAAAATAAGTTTGATTCAACCTCTACAAAGAAATACACATGTTTGATTATGCATATAATTGGAATCTATAAGATAATGGAATATGCTCCTAATAAGAATATCGAAATACTTTTTTCAGATGAAACTGCTGTAAATTGTGACAGATTTATGGAACATAATGGAATGTCTTTATTCATAGAATGTTTAGAGGTATGTTGCTTTACCACTTACCCGGTATCACGCATTTATTAAAAAAAATTAGGATATTAGTTTATTCTTTCAATGGAAAGCTTTAAAAAAAAATGATGATTTAAAGTATTTCCATGGTTTTGTTTTTAACTAAAAACTATTGTATATGCTTATAAGATTATAAGGTTTAAATTTCTGCTTTTATTAGCAAAGAGAACACTTGTTTGTTAGGATAATTTGTTTTCGGGGTTGACTAAATAGGAATATTGATAAATTATAACAAATATTTGATAAGATTTAATACCGTAAATTCAGAAATTATTGCTAGGTTTTTATTAATGTGAAAAATGCGACTGGGTGAGTATTGCAATGATAAGAATGCACATTTTGATACAGGATACATCGCAAAAATTGATCTCACATTTTTATCCATTCTCCAAAAATCGCAAAAAAAAAAATGCACACAATAATATCTGAATTTAACGGTAGTAGTTTAACTTTGTTAAAGTAAAAGGCATTGGCCTTTCAGATTTACAATTGGCCAAACACTTTTTCAGGTTGCAATTTGAATTCTTTCCTTGAAACTGCTCAATGATAAATGATTTCTTTGTAAGAGAAAGGTTGTTAATATTATGCATGTGCAATATAATTAAAGTATTTTTACCATCAAATTCAATGTTTTCTTTTTGTTTTGTGTGAAGATGGGAACTTAATCAGCAAGAACACATATATAATAGAGGTTTTAACAAAACAATTGATAATCTTTTTGCAAATATGAAAGAGGTCATACTTTCTTGAAAATTCCCAAATAGAAAGGTTCTATCATCAAAAACTTGTCCTATCATGTTAGGTCTCTTTAGTCTAGTCTTGTAATTTCTCATCAGAGAAACAAATTAGCCAAAACAAATAAAGGTAGTCCTTTGAATGTCAGTGAATGTTTTAATATATTTCTGTTGTTATTTATATTGTAGACTTTCCCAGAAAAACCTGAATTGCTTAGAAATATGATGGGACTTATGGTATGTTTCCTTATTTTAGTCTTTTGAGAATCAAACATTTAATTATATTTTAAAATTGTATTTAGAATATGCTATACTGCAGAAAATTAGCATTGATCTTTTGAGGTTTGAATTTTATTGTATAAAAAGGGCTATTCTATTAAAATGTATGTGGGAGGGTAGGAAAGGAAGTTTAATTATTGAATGTGGGTCATGGGTCTTTTTTCAGTATGCGTCTATTACCATTATGCAAAATTATCTAAAAAATGGTTCTTGGTTGTAGGGATATTTTGAAAGTCCCTTCCTACCCTCCCACATACATTTTAATGGAATAGCCCTAAGAAAGGGAGATAGCTCAGTAAACAACCAAGTTCTCTTTATTGTATTGGGTGATAACTTAGTAAACATTTAAGTTCTTTTTTGTCGAGCCTTCGACTTGAGTCGATAAAGCGAGACATAGCGATCCTACATTCTGTTGGCGTTGTCGTTGTCGTCGGCGGCGGCGGCGGCGTCCACAAATATTCACTCTGTGGTTAAAGTTTTTGAAATTTTAATAACTTTCTTAAACTATCCAGGATTTCTACCAAACTTGGACAGAAGCTTGTTTATGATCATAAGATAGTATCCAGAAGTAAATTTTGTAAAAATAAAATTCCGTTTTTTCCGTATTTTACTTATAAATGGACTTAGTTTTTCTGCCAGGAAATATTACATTCACTCTGTGGTTAAAGTTTTTAAAATTTTAATAACTTCCTTATACTATTTTGGATTTATACCAAGCTTGGACAGAAGCTTGTTTATGATCAAAAGCTAGTATCCAGAAGTAAATTTTGTAAAAAAAAAAAATCCAATTTTTCCGTATTTTACTTATAAATGGACTTAGATTTTCTGCCAGGAAACAACACATTCACTCTGTGGTTAAAGTTTTTAAAATTTTAATAACTTTCTTATACTATTTTGGATTTGTACCAAACTTGGACAGAAGCTTGTTTATGATCAAATGCTAGTATCTAGAAGGATATTTTGTTTTCTTCCAGTTAACATTACATTCAGTCTGCAGTTAAAGTTTTTAAACATTTATTAGATTCATAAACTATCCTGGATTTTTACCAAACTTGGACAGAAGCTTCTTACAATCAAAAGATAGTATCAAGAGGAATATTTTTATTGATTTACTTCCTCATTTTTGTTGAGCCTGCGATTAACAGAAAAAGTAGGCGTGACACTGGGTTCCGCGGAACCCTTACGAGGGGTGATAACTCAGTAAACATTTAAGTTCTTTTTTTATTATATGGGGAGATAACTCAGTCAACATTAAAGGTTTTTTTTTATTTTATGGGGAGATAATTCAGTAAACATTTTTTTTGAATGAGGATATCATTGAAAACATTACCTTGAAATACCAAGTAATTTGAAATAATGAAAAGACAGAATAAGATCAAATAAGCACGCTGAGTTTTGCAATGTATGGTAACACTTATTTGCAGAATTGTTTAAAATTAACTGATTCTTTCTATGTGTACTTAGGAAAGAAAGTAAGAAGATAAAAAACTGTAAGCAAAAAATGATCACTAGGATATTATAAACAATAAGATAAAGACAAGATCATATGTTAACCAATAAACATCAGCTAACTACAGAAGTCCACCAGAAATAGAAAACAAGTTGATATATATACCCTAGTGTGTTTTTTGAGGAAGTTAATTGGATTTCAAGTCTCAAACTGAATTATTCCACCAAACACATTTACAACAACCAAAACTAACATTTACCTCTAAAAGTACTAAAATGCAAGTAACTTCCTTACCATAGCAACACAAGAAATCCCACAGATATAGCACCACCAGAAATAAGATATTTAATTCTTTCTTTTTTGTGTGTCTGGAAATGGTTTGTTGCCTGCGGTTTGCCATTGCCATAAAAAAAAAACAATGGATTTTAATCCTGTTCATTTTAGATAGCTGTAAAGAGAGCATGGCAGAACATTGTTATTTTTTATAAAACAGACATCTATGAAAAGCCATCTGTTATTCTTGTAATGTTTTTAACTGTAAAAGACTTCATGTAAATGTTTAAACATTTTATATCTTCTAGGGCAACATTGCTGAAGTACCATATTTAAGACCAAAACTGATGGAAAAATCATTTATTGAGATATTTTGGTAGGTTTCATATATAATCAAAAAGAAGGGAGATATATAACATTAGCAATTAAGTTTTAAATTTTGCATGTGAGTAAACCAGCTCTTTCGGCCTCTAGCTTATTTTTTTAAAGAATGTTTGCTGATTGAAATTAAATTAAGTACTGATTCATAAATATTATGCTTGTATTGATACTGAAGTAATTCAGAAAACAGTTGTGACAGTTGAGATCTAGCTGACAATGAATCAATTATTTAAAGTACTTCTCTTTATTATTTTATGAAAATAAGGAAATGTGGTATGATTGCAAATGAGACAACTATCCACCTGAGTCCTTTAGAAACATGCACTACTTGACACAAAGTGAAGTAAAGAACAATATCATACTGTAAAAAAATCAAAAGCCTTATCTAAATCACAGGCCAAACTAAAAAATCTTTAAAAATGATCTCCCTCAAAGAAAGCTTCTTTGATAAAAAATTTTAGTTTTGAACTTGTGACCAGCTGTTTAAAGTCTTTTCAAGATTAACGTAAATTTGGATTGTCTCATTGGGTTGTCACAGGCCAAAACAAAGAAAGTTGTCTTTCAATGAAAAGGTTTTGGATACATTTTTTAGCTGTGCTCTTGTGACCAGCTGTTTAGAGAATTTTTAAGGCTAACATGATTTTTTTATTGTTTCAGTGAGTTGTTAGACTCAGAGAAGGATGGAATAGAAGTCAGTTATAATTCTGCTGGTGTATTTTCTCACATGATGGCAGATGGTCCTGCTGCCTGGACAATTCAGTCTCCTAGTCGAGATCATGTCACTGAAAAAGTCATTTCTGCAATACAGCGATGGCCTCTAAAAAGTACAAGGAATATAAATTACAGGTACAATTGTCAATATATATATATTTACTTTAAAATGGGGAATATTCATGAGTGGTTAATTTTTCGCAATTAACAATGAAGATAAAAATGTGAAAATATTCCCTAGAGGAAATCTTATCCTCAAGGAAGAGTAAAATCTGTAATGAAATTAAAACCTCTTGAAACAGTTGTGTCTATAAAATCATTAATTTTAAACTGGCAAAAATTAATTATTTTACAGAATGTAATTTGAAAATATTGCTATTAAAATGTTTTAAAAATACAGACTTCAAAGTCATCTCCTTACAACTCTGCAAATGTAATCATAACTCTTACATCAATGGCAAAATGGACAGGTTAAATTTTCACTGTGTATAATTTTCACTGAATGGGAAAATACACACACAAAAATAACTGTATCGTATTGTTCAAGTTGTAAACAACATTAACTTAATTAACTAACAGTTTATCGATATCAAATATATATGAGTTCTACAAACGAAAATATACTTTCAAGGAACAAAAAATATTTACATTGGAGTATGATAAAAGTTGAAGGTTTTGATCCTTACAGGTATACAAATATCGTGTAAATATATAATATTAGGTCAATGTCAGAAAAATATAAACTTTTTTGTATGAGGCTGAGAAACTGGGGAAGGGAGAGGTTTTACCGAGCCCTTCTTCAGTTTTGTGCCGAATACAAAAAAGTTTATATTTTTATGACATTGACCTAATATTGTTTTTATACTGCAACTTTAATTAAAACATTGATAGCTATTTAAATTGTTGCACAAATTTTAAACTTATTTTCATCCAATATCAATGCAAATAAGGGTGAAATAGTTGGTGAGAAAGGAAGTGGTCTGCAAATTGAATGCAAACGCATAAATGATCCTAAATTGCTTAATTCATTTGGTCTTCAAAAAAGGGGATTAAAAATTGCTAATCTCAATATTCAGCACATATTGCCAAAAATTGAGGAAATAAGACTCACCCTTAATGAAAAGAAAAGTTTACATATTTTGGGCCTATGTGAAACATTCTTAAATCCAGAATTAGGTGATAATTTAATTGAAGTAAAAGATTATGACATAATAAGAAGAGATAGACATGAAACCCAAGACAAAACAGGGGGTGGGGTATTAGTTTATATAAACAACTTAATGGCATATGAAAGGAGAGAAGACTTAGAGATTGGTAATGTTGAATCAATTTGGCTTCAGATCAATTTTCCATCCACAAAACCTATTCTTTTGTGTTCAGTTTACAGACCACCTGATATGAAAGTAGACTGGATAGATGCTTTTGAATTAGAAATAAGTAAAGCATCAAGCTTAGATTTAGAAATTATTATTATGATTGATATAAATATTGACTATGCTCAAGGATGTAGTAACAACAAATGGTCCCATATGATACAGTGCTATGGTCTTACACAACTTATTGATAATCTAATAAGAGTAACAGATAAAAGTAAAAAGATCATTGACCATATATATACAAATAAGTCCGATAATATAATTGAAACATATGTACCTTATTTGGCATTAAGTGACCATTACCCAGTATGCCTTACAAGAAAAACAAATGTTAAAGAAATACCTGATTCTAGCCACAAGATCATAACTTATAGATGTTTTAAAAAGTTTAATGAAGAGAATTTTATAAAAGAACTTCAATGTAAACCATTTAATACTGTGAAAGAAGAACATGACACAGACAAAGCTTTAAATATCTGGTATTCTCTTTTCAATAATGTTTTAAATAAGCATGCTCCAACAAAAACAAAGCGAGTCAAAAATGTCCAAAGGCCAGAATGGTTAACCCCTGAAATATTAACTGCCAGACAAAACAGGGATTATTACCATAAAAAGCATGATCTAGACAGATACAGGTTCTGGAGGAACAAAAGCACATCACTTATAGATGATGCAAAAAACAAATTTTATAAAACATCTATTGAACAGGCTAAAAATCCAAAAGAATTATGGAAATATGTCAAGGGGCTCAACCAAACTAAAAGTTCTCCTTTTCCATCACAACTTAAGATACACAATGGTGTTATCACAGAAACTCAGCATATAGTTCATGCTTTAAACAAACATTTTATAAATATTGCCCCGAAAGATAGCCTATCAACATCTAAATCATACAAATTTGATAGTAATAAGATTTATGAGGAGGTAGCAGCAAAAGTACCTCAAGATACTTGGTTTTACATCCCCTTGATTACAGTTGCTGAAGTTAAGGACTGCCTTAGCAATTTAAATGTTGCAAAAGCTACAGGCATTGATCAGATCAGTCCTCGCATACTTAAACTATCATCAGAAGTTATTTCACCGTCAATAGCTTATATTATAAATAGGAGTATCACTGCTGGTATATTTCCTTCTGAGCTTAAAAATGCCCGTGTCATGCCAAGTCATAAAAAGGGTCCTAAAGATACTGTCGACAACTATAGACCAATATCTATTTTGCCTACTCTTTCAAAGATTTTTGAAAAGCATGTCTGCAAACACCTATACCTATACCTATTAAAATATAAGCTCCTTCATGCAAGTCAGTCTGGATTTAGAAGCCACCACTCTTGTCACACTGCTTTACTAAAACTTATTGATCAGTGGTTGAAAGCCATTGATGATGGAGAAATTATAGGTATTATCTTCCTAGATTTTAAAAAAGCATTTGATCTGGTAGATCACATTATCCTTCTTCAAAAACTGCAGTGCTACAAAATTTCAAATTTATCATGTAACTGGTTTAAATCATATCTATCTCATAGATTCCAACAAGTTGAAAATGGGACAATCAAGTCAAGGGCACTAGAAATAAAATCTGGAGTACCTCAGGGCTCCATATTAGGCCCCCTTTTATTTTTATTGTTCATTAATGATTTGCCCCTTCATATAACCTCATCTGAAGCAGACCTTTATGCAGATGATACTACCATTCACTGCACAGGTCGTAGTCTAAATACCATCCAGGACAGCATTACAAATGATTTAGACAGAATTGAAGAATGGTGCAAGGGAAATAAGATGTATATAAATCCAACAAAAACTACATCTATGGTTATTGGTTCTAGACAGAAACTAGCAAAAACAGACCATGTTCTTAATTTGACTGTTGGTAACTCCCACATTAGAGATGTTAATGGCGAAAAGCTCCTAGGGGTTTTTATTGATGAAAATCTTGAGTGGACAGCCCAAATTGACACTTTGTGCACAAAAATCAGTACCAGGCTAAATCTTTTGTCTAGGATAAAGAAATCCCTCCCCCAGAAACACGAAAGTTATACTTTAATGGTTATATTCTCCCTATTTTGGATTACTGTTGTACAATTTGGGGAAACACCAGTGACCAAAATACAAATAGATTAGATAAACTTCAAAAACGAGCAGCTAGAATTATTCTTGAACTTCCTTATGATACCCCATCTAATACAATGTTTAAAAAGTTATCATGGCTTCGATTTACTGATCATGTAATTTACCACAAGGCCTTATATGTTCATAAATGTTTATATGGATCTGTCCCAGAATATTTGTCTAACAAAATCTCCTATGTTACAAATAAAAATGGAATGCAACTTAGATCAAATACTACCCAATTACTTAATATACCAAAGGCAAGAACAAACACATTTAGAAGATCTTTTTCATATTCTGGCCCAACTTTATGGAATAAACTACCAGAAGCACTAAGACACATGTCAAACATAAATACTTTTAAAACAAACTGCTTTGAGTTTTTACTTGAAAATCCAGGAATTATTTAAATGATTATGTATCAATTTTGATTATGTTTTCTAATGTTTATCTTTGTTATGAAGAAATTGTGAGATGCATTGTGAGTGGAGTGTGAGGGCCTCAAGGGAGAATAGTGTTTGTACTAATTGAGCATACCCTCTTGAAATAAAGATTATTATTATTATTATTATTATTATTATTATCCCTTAATGAACCCCTGATTGTGGAAAAAGTGTTCCATGATGAAATTGACATGGCACAAAATATAGCTGTGTTACTATAATTAGGAAATAAACACAACTGGTTGCAGTATAAATATGATTTATTTTATTTTTATATTACATGCAAAATGTTCGGGTTATGACACTAATCAATATGGAACGTCGCTAATTAACATTTTTAACAAGTCAATGATTGCTGTGTTGTCAAAAGGTGTGGTCTTAATTAAGTATGCATATTCTTGTGATCTGTCGAATAACACAAAATACTCGATAATTAACAGTCTTTCAAACAACCATAAATCTTGGAATATGCAGGAAAATTTACGCGGGGTCAAATTTACTTGTTTCTTTAGGTGCCGCGAATACCGTAAAACGAAAATTAAACACTAGTGAAAAAAAAACCCGATATACGGTATTATGAAATAAAAAATAAATAATTTTATACACTATTACATATACATGATGTTAATCATTTAATATTTTTTATATTGCAGATCCTTTACACCTATTTTAAAAATAGTAGATGCTTACCATGCTCTTGGTGCTCAGTACTGGGCTGTTTGGGCTCTATGCAATTTGACAACAGTTTATCGTGAGTACATTACTTCACCTTCAAAACTTCAAGTTATTTTTTTTCTATCAAAATGATTATCCTTAGATATCCACTTTCTTTCTTAATGATCTATGGTTGTTGACTGTTGTGTAGTTTATTATCTTAAAAGCAGCAAAACTTATGAATAAAGTGCATTATTAACAATGAACCATTGAACCAATCCTTTTCGAGTTTTAATGTGTTGTTACTGATGTTTCACTTTTGCCATTTAGGAGTTATTGTCCTTGATTGATTAGAAAAAAGTTGTTAATGTCATTTCTGTGCAATAACTTATTAACCCTTCAACCAATGCTTTTCAATTTTTTCACATGTATTTACTTATACATGTATGTATGAAAAAATGGAGGTCAAGTTCAATATTGACCCTACGCTTTTGCTGTTTAGGAGTTATAGTCCTTGATTGATTGGAAAATCAGAGGAGGAATTAGGGTTTTTTTCAGGGGGCCGGGCCCCCCTTTTGTGGGAAAAATTTGGTGATTATTTAGGGAATCACTGAAGCATGACTGGAGTGGGCTCCCTCTTAGGCAGTCAGTGAAACCCCCTTATGAAAATTTTTGGATCCGCCACTGAAAATGGCACTGTATGTCTTTTCCATGCAAAAAAAAATGTGAACGGTTGTACCAATGCTTTTCAAATTTTAACATGTTGTAACTGTGGTCAAAATAGAGATAGGAATGCTTTTCTCTTGATTGATTGCAATAATTTAAAAACCTATCAACCAATGCTTTTCAAATTTTAACATGTTGTTACTGATGTCAAAATAGAGGTCACGAATGATATTGACAAATTTAACTTTTGTTAATCAGGAATTTCTTTAACAATTACACTGATAATGTAATTAAAGCCAGGTTTGCTGTCATTTTGACAGCCGCTTGTTGATATTTTCTCATTACATGGCATCAATAACATATCCCTAAAAAAACTTGCTTTTCATTTTTGCCGAAATTTCAAATATCTTCTTTAGAACTGCAGAATTTATTTATGCCATTTGGTGAGTCAAGTACCTTGGATGATACAGTCCAAGTGTTATATGGGACACACACATGTAAAAGTTTTCCATTAGAAACAAATTAAAACTAAGTAAAAAAAGTCTCTTGTTATGTTTTGTAATTTGGATGACAAACTAGTATGGCTGCAACATGTGCAAGTGGAGGAGTCAATTGGATTTAATCAGAAGAAAACCCCTTTTTGACACCAAAATATGACAGACAGGTTCCTTGAACGGTACTTAAAGTGTTTTGTTACTTTACTTTTGTATTGATGGGCCAACAATACTTCATTGAAACATATAGGAAAATATACAGAAAACTTTTCGTTTAATTTTTGATACAAATATGACAGACTGGTTCCTTTTGTTTTCTTACCGTGTGTTGTAACTAACATTTGGCGCCAGTCATCCAACCGATATGATCATTATTGGGCCTGTATTTGCACTGGAACTGCTTAACCAGTTGACAAACAAACCAGCAAGCAAATAATAAAATAAACAACAAGAATGTGTCCATAGTACATGGATGCCCCACTTGCACTATCATTTTCTATGTTCAGTGGACCGTGAAGTTGGGGTAAAAACTCTAATTTGGCATTAAAATTAGAAAGATCATATCATAGGGAACATGTGTACTAAGTTTCAAGTTGATTGGATGTCAGCTTCATCAAAAACTACCTTGACCAAAAACTTTAACCTGAAGTGGGACAAACAACAAACGGACGGATGAACAGACGAACAAACGAACGAACGCCCAGACCGAAAAACATAATGCCCCTAGGTGGGGCATGAAGAGGCATCCAGAGGGCAACATTCAGTTTTCAACAACATAGAGGTGTCTATACAATGTTTCTAGCTCTAACATCTGTATTTAGATGCATTTGTTAACATAAGTTTTATGATCTCAAATGCAGATGGTGTTACTGCAAAAATGCTTCTTTCATAATTTGAAACATCTTGCAAATTGAAAAGAAAAAAAAATTCACACAACATCTGAACTTCTAAAGCAGCTCAAGTGTTTACACATGTATATGCTCAACAATATTATTTTTCAGTAAAAGATATTATAATGATTCTATCATTTAATTCATTGTTTTAACATTCTTACCATTTTACAGCCAAGAAATATTGTCCACTTTTAAAAAAAGAAGGTGGTGAAGAAAGAATAACTTCAATTCTTCAAAATCCACAAACAATTGTTAAGATAAAGGATCTGGCTAATAAAATAATAAAAAACCTCAGCATGGATCCTGATAAAGTTCATGAAGCCAATAGTAATGCAGCTGAAGATTCTGAAAGTAGTGACCTTGAAGATTGAGTTCAGGATTCTGATAGTAGTTACCTTGAGGATTGAGTTCAGGATTCCGAAAGTAGTTACCTTGATGATTGAGTTCAGGATTCCGAAGAAATGACTTTGAGGATCGAGGTCAGGATTCTGAGCGGATTGACTTTTAGGGCTTAGTTCTTTCAAATTCTCAAAGTAGTGACCTTGAGGATTAAGTTCATGGTTCTCATAGTAGTGATCTTGAGGATTTAGTTCAAGATTGTTGAAGTAGTGATCTTGAGAATTCTCAAAGGAGTGACTTTGAGAATTGACTTCATTGATCATATTTTCTGTTTAGCCCTTAATATACCTTAATATACAATTAAGTTAATATTTTATGTGAAGGAGTAGGCCCGCTAAGACCCCTTTTTGGCCACAAAATATAGCATTTTCACAAATTTGTTAAAAATGTAAACTTCTAGCTATTATTGAAAAGTAGAATACTTTTGTTACATAAGTATGGGCTGTTTTTGACAATACCATGCACACCCATCAGATACTAGCATCATTAGTTCATGCAAAATAACTGAAATCTTCACAATTTTAGCATTTGTGCTAATTTTTAGACAGGTTTTGTTCAAATGGAAGTGGCCGATTTTGTGTTCAGACTTAATATTTATATATATGTTATATTTGATGATAATACATAACATATATAAAGGTTGAGACTGAACTGAATGTGGCCACTTACATTTTAGACAAAAACCATTTCAAAAGTGACGTTTTATGGCATACTTGATAGATTTTTCATATTTAAGCTTGAATTTTAGCGTTTTTAATGACCAAATCAGTTCAAATCTTTTACATAAACTAATTTAATCGACTGAAGTAGACACTTAAAGAGTTAAAAAAATGACAAAACTCTTTCATCAGATGTACTTCAAATTTTAGGCCAAAATAAGCCGTTACTGGACCTTCTCCTTTCTATTCATTTGTTAATTAGCCTCTCATCATCTTCATATCATAAGTCTCATATTCAAATGATCATTTTCTTTTATGAACAGCACATTCATGTCTGTTTTTACTTTTAATATTGCTCGGAGCATTTGTTGCAGTCAGGATACTACTGTGTCAAAATTATCTCCCCATTACGCTACCTAAGTGTTTCAGTTGCGAAAATGGAAGCCATTGTAGGAATGACGCGCTGTCATTTCAGCTCTTGAAAACCGATAAATTTATCCAGATAGCATCATTATCATTCTTACATGACAGTTGTATTTTAAAAAACATGTATATTCTAGCTGTTAAGCCTCATGTAAAGTTCCATGAGAATTTTTTGAAGATATGTATTTTTAAGATCCACTTGTAAAGTCTGTCATCAAGGGGTTTTTGTTATTTTGTATTAAAAATTTGTTAATCATACACACTTACTCTGTTGTTGTTACTCATTAGAAAGGTATTTCGCTTTTATTTTTTGGTACTGTGAATTTTTAAAGTTATTATGTCAAAATGTAGCCTTAATATATAAAAATAATAGAATCTGAAGCCAGACGGTGTATCAAATATTGTTGCTTTATATGTTTTCAAGACAAAACTCAAACACGCCTGAATATAAATAGGGGTACCTGACTTTCTCTTTTCGATGAGATTATTGCCTTTTTTTAGGATTTTTTCCCAAAAAACTTTTGCCGGGGGCAGGGATGCAAATTAATGTTTTTAAAAGATCAATATTTTATCTTTCTGTGGAATTTTTTTCGGTGGAATTTATGCTTATGTACAAAAAAGATCCACAAGTATTTGCACCTTCCATAATAGACTGTTTAGTGAAAATTTGTCTTTTATTTAAAAGTTTAGAAATATCTCGAAGCTCCATACTATGAATTACATGTAAGTATAAACATGTATATGAGATGCAAAAAAATCATAAATAAAGCACCTACATTAAACTTTTAAAGCCCATAGAAACAGATGTAAACAATTCAAATATACCAACTTGGCCATATTTACTTTCTCTAATAAAGAGTTCCATTTCTTTTGTTTAATTTCAAGTGGATATCAGCCTGATAGTGCTGTAAATCTATTGAATATTTGTGCTTTATGATTATTTGTACTATAATTGATTACTTTTTACACATTGTGACTTGTATGGAGAGTTATCTCATTGGCACTCATACCACATCTTCTTATTTATATTTATGTTATCAGTCTGTGTCACAGACAATTTGCAAAAATATTTTATGTAATTTGAGTGTATTTTTGTAATGGAAAATCATGCTTGAAAAGAATTAGGTCTAGTTATCTAGTGAATACAAAAATTTGCCCACAGCATACTCTTGAAAAGAAAATGTTCACTGTCAAAATGAAAATTGTATGATATGTGTTTTAATTCAAAAGGTTTTGTTGATAAGAACATTAACTATCAACTAGAAACTCTTGTAGTTTATGGTGTATGAAATGCTAAAATTTAAAACAAATTTTGTGCAGTGGTACTTTATATATCATCTCAAAACCCAAAAATTCTGCATTTTTTAAATAATTAAGGGACAGAACTCTTGGTGTTAGATAGTTAAACTGTAAAAATAGATTTTGACCTGTATTTTATGAACCCTGAGATTTTTTTAAAATCTTAAAAGATTTTGGTAGTGGCGCTTTAATTATCATCCAGAAACCACCCAAAAATCCCAATTTTTCAGATAACTGTTAGGGGTATAACTGTTGAATGGTAAATGTTAGAATGTTAAAATTCAAGAAGACTTTTATTTTATGGTCCATGACTTTTTGATCAAGCTGATCTTTAAATATTATCCAGAAACCAGAAATATGACCAAAACCGCCAAAATCGAACTTAACCTGTATTTTATGATCTATGATATTGAATTAAAATTTTGAAAGATTCTGTCAAACTGTACTGTAACTGTCATATCAAAACCAAAAGTTTAACCAATGATTAATCAGATGGACAGACATTTGCATCATTTTATACCCAGCCATGCCACTTCAATTCAGGGGTTATTAAACTGGCCAAATATGTCACAAAACAGTTTTTCTAGAGGTTATTGATGTGTAAACTGGGTTGCTTACTCACAAGTTTAGATAAAAGTCCTTCACACTTTTATTCAGTTTGTGAGTTAATCAGCCCAGTCTACACAGCAATAACCTCTAGAAAAAATATGTTTAATCCTATAGTAACATCTAGAAAAAATATGTTTAATCATATAATTCTCAACCCAAACATTTATAATTTTTTCTTTTCATGTCAATGTTCTTAGAAACCCAGGATTCCAAACACTATGTATAGTGCATGAATATATCAGTGAAATCAACATAGTATTTGGATAGGTTACAAAATTGGTTCAGTCAACCAAGAAAAAATTTCACATTCAAGTATTTATAGATATGCAAATCATATAAGAATGTTTGTTTACTTTATTATTAAGTTTACAGACTCCAGGAATATATTGTTCCTATCAGAAACATTACAATTTTGATGTGATTTGTATACCAAAATACAGGCCTGCTACATATATGTTATTTTAATGCAATTATTTTGTATCAATGGTTGGATGACAATAAGCTTAAAATTCTCTATCTCCCTGTCAGTAACTAAGGAAGCCGACATTTTGAATTCCGGAATGTATTGACATGTAATTTCTCCAATAATAAGCATAAAGACTCACATTTTGTACAAAAAAATCTTCTTTTTATCAAGTTTAATTATATTCTGAAGCGGACAAGAAGCCAGAAAATGCCAGGTGTTTACGTTTGATGCCGAAAGCATACTTATGACGTCACCTAGTTTAGGCGCCAATGAAGATAACATCATTTCACGGGATTTTTGTTTAATGAAAATTTACACTAAAATAATGACTAAAATTGAATGATTTGTTTATTTTGCATTAGAATAGAGATAACTGTATTGTATTTGAAGCTTTGCGGACGTCCATCAGTAGTTTTACTGTCGCAAATAACCTTTTACCTGTCTCCGCTACACGTCGCCAGGTAAACTAAATTTGAGACAGTAAAACTACAGATGGATGTCCGCAAAGCTTCAAATACAATACAGTTATCTCTAAATTACCATTGTCTTTTATTCTTTACTTACCGATATTGAGCTGAATTGTTCATGTAGTTATTTTTGGATAATTTACAAATTAAATTTGTGTGTGCGATCATACTGACTTATTATTTACAGAATTATGTCAGGCTAAGGCTGTTTCACATTAATAATGTTAAACTTTATGCAGATTATACATTTTCAGTTAAAATATTATGTAATAATGAAATAGTCCTTTGATTTTATATGAAACACATTATTCATATAATGTTTAGAAGCACATCAGCTATGCTGTTTTTTTTCAGAATTTCTTCTCTTATAAACATTTGTTAATTATGAAACTATGAAATATCTAGCAGGTTTTTTTCTGCTGTATAAATTTAAAATTTTTTTTTTTTAATTCTTGAGTATGCAACGAATGTTTTCCAAGAGTTAGCAAATTGGTAGAAAGCAAATGCAAAAGTTTGTGACATTTAAGGTTTTTCTACACCAAGGCATAGAAAGCCTTAGCCCTATTATAAGCACAACTTTTCAAAATGTGTAGTTTAGTTTTCTATACTTTTAGTTTTATATAAGCCTGGTATACTTGATAAGTTTTCAAAGAGAATCAGCTTTGTGTATGGCATGTCATAACGACTATTTTGAAGTTGTTTAGATATAATCAAATGGAAAATATATGGTAATAAGTCAATGGGTATGTAAGTCATATCTATTTATTTAATTCCCAATGGAGCGAGACTGTGTGCGTTGATATGGTAAGTGTCTCCTGATATGCAATCATATGTTACGATGAGGAATAGGACACAATCATTATATTTACCAATCAGACAACTATTCTGGTATCCAAAGATCTAAGAAATTAAAGCAAGTGAGATGAGATACAGACATTTCGAATCAGTTAACAGTTTTTTTGTCATGAGCACCCCCATTTGATTAATTCCATATGATGTGAACATGCCAGAGCCGAACACATCAATTGTGATATGTAAATGCCAAACGATGGGACAGAGGATAAGTTACTACTGAGATATTGAGAAGTTGACAGTTGTAAAGCTGAAATCATCACGTTTTTCATAGATTATTTTTTGAAGTCTTCAAGCTGTGTCAATATCAAGGAAAAGATCAAGATATGAAACAGACCTTCTAGCTAGTTTCAGAAAATGTCTGTACCAAGTCAGGAATATGACAGTTATTTTCTATTCCTTTGATGTGTTTGAGCTTTTGATTTTGCCATTTGATAAAAGGACTTTCCACTTTGAATTTTCCTTGGAGTTCGGTATTTTTGTTATTTTATTTTTTTCAGTAGTATCCTTAATTTCAAGTTCACCAGGATATATGAATTGCAAACATTCACTCAATTGTGGGTCTTTATATGTGAAATTAAAGAACTTAGCAGATTAAAGATGTGTTATATTGGTTTTGAGAAGGTTTTTAAAAAAATTAAATTCTGCTTCATATGAGTACAAAAAACAAGTCAATTAGTATGGGTCCAAAATTAGTACATATTGGAATACCGAATTTTATGCCCCCGCCCTTGTCCGTCTGTTTGCACATACCTACGTACGTACATCCCAAAATTGGTTTCCGTTCTCTAACTTGAGTTTGCCTCAACCAAATGTTATAAAACTTATACACAATGCTTATTACCTCAAAACACAGATCAAGTTTGTATTTTGGTGGCATCACTTTAACCATTCTAGAGTTATGCCCCTTTATAAATGGAAAAATTGCTAAATTTTTAGTTTCCGTTCTCTAACTTAAGTTTGCCTCATCCAAATGTTATGAAACTAATACATAATGCTTGTTATCACAAAACACAGATCAAGTTTGAATTTTGATGGCATCACTTTAACCGTTCTAGAGTTATGCCCCTTTATAAATGGAAAAATTGCTAAATTTTTAGTTTCCGTTCTCTAACTTAAGTTTGCCTCAACCAAATGTTATGAAACTTATACAGAATGCTTATTACCACAAAACACAGATCAAGTTTGAATTTTGGTGGCGTCACTTTAACCGTTCTAGAGTTATGTCCCTTTATAAATGGAAAAATTGCAAAATTTTTATTTTCTTCTTAAATATCAAGTATTTTTAAAATTGGAGTTATCTTCCTTTGTCCATGATTATAGTTGAATCAACTACAATCAATGCTTTATACAGTGCAATGTTTAATTTTGACTTCCACTGATAAAACACAGATCAAGTTGAATTTGGGAAGTGTCACTTTAACCATTATTAAGTTATGCCCCTTTATAAATCGAAAGATTGCAAAATTTTTAGTTTCCGTTCTGTAACTTAAGTTTGCCCCAACCAAACATTATGAAACCTATACACGATATTCATTACCACAAAACTAAGATCAAGTACAAATTTTTGTTTCCGTTTTCTAACTTTAGTTTGCCTCAACCAAACGTTATGAAACTTATACACAATGCTTATTACTACATAATACAGATTAAGTACGAAATTTGGTGGCAACACTTTTACCATTCTTGAGTCATGTCCCTTTATAAACATAAAAATTGCTGAATTTTTCATTTCTGTTCTCTAACTTTAGTTTGTCTCAACCAAATGTTATAAAACTTATACACAACCGTTCTAGAGTTATGCGTGTTTACAAATAGAAAAATTGCTGAATTTTTAGTTTCTGTTCTCTACTTAAGTTAGCCTCAACCAAATGTTATGAGACTTACACACAATGCTTATTACCACAAATTTCAGATCAAGTTCAAATTTGGGTAGCGTCACTTTTACCGTTCTTCAGTTATGTCCCTTTCTAACTATATGATATGCAAGCGGGGGCATCATCTGTGTCCACATGTGGACACTATCCACATTTATTTGTTGAAATATCAATCCACTAAACTCAACAAATAGGTTGTCTATAAAAAAATTCACCATTTTTAAGATGTTTCTGGTGTAATTATTATAGGAATCCATGTGTTTCTACACAATGCTAGATTTATTCTTGACCTGCAGCAAGGAATTAGTTTCTACGATACTCTTTTGTAGAATAAAGAGCTAGGCATGATATGCCCTTTGCTTTTTCAACGAATAAAGTTCCATTATTCCTCAATGTCATATCAGAAATTTATAATAGATATAAACCAGTCACCAAAGTTTCATGAAAACTGCTTAAAGCATTTTTGAGTTATTGTTCAAAAACTGGAAAAGCCCCCCTTTTTTATGAATGAAATCCCATAACTCGGAAAAGTAAAATCTAAAATTTAAAAAAATTGAAAGGGGGCTTACGTCAATAGATATAAACAATTCTTCAAAGTTTCATGAAAATTGGTTAAACGTTTTTTGAGTTATTGTCCGACATGTTGAAGACGGTAGGACGGACAGTCAGACGGACAGACATACAGACGGACAACGGTATACCATAATACCTCCCGTAAACGGGTGTATAAAAAATCAGTTTAATTTGAAGATGAACTTGATCTTTCGACTGAGCAAGCGGAATAGTAGTATAGAATGTAGAAAAATCAAAACTTTTGATATTACTGCGAAATCAAAATTATTTTGATTGAAGATTTTGTTATAGAATTTCAGAATTTATGTGAATCCACATTTGATTTATCTCGCTGGTTCAATACTCATCGCAATATTTTTGAAGGCCATCTTGTACTGTAGAATGAATGGTAGTAAGAACTTTAGAAATATGTTTTGTCAAACATCTATATAAACAACCTTGTTACATATCGTTCTTTATTAGGATTTTAGTGATGGTGAGCTATCCAGTATATTAAGACGCGCAAGATTTTCGAATACTTTTTTTAATATGTTAATGCAAGAGTAGAGATTTGTTATTTCTCCTCTTTCGTGAATGATGTAGGTTTCTCAGAAAATTCCAAATCATTTAGTTGAGCATTCCAAATTATGATTTTGGATATTAAAACAATATTGTATGGGGCTTTGTCTGCTGGAACAACAAAATATTAGTCATGAAGAGAGGGCACACATCTACAATACACATTTTGACAGGATATTAAAGAAACCCATGTACTCATGGTACAACAAAGTTTTTGAATGCATGACCGAACAGCCTTGATCCTTTAAAGTGTCCAGTTTTGCAGTTTTGGTTAATGGGCCATTTACCTGTTTAAAAGCTGAGTGTTCAATTCATGGACTATTTCAATATTGTTAATCAAGCTCGAGCAACACCATTTTTCTCTCATGTCAAATGGGACATAGAGAAGCGGTCTTCTTTATATTACGAAATGAATGGAGCAGACACGGCCCTCTGTACAAGTGAAGGAGATTTGTTTCGGATGGGTTATATATTTTTGTGGACCAAAAAGACAGATTATTTATTTTCTGCACTGTTCAGGATTTGTAGTATACAAATCCTTGCACTGTTGAAGCATGATTTTTCATTTTTATTAAAACAAGGAACTGATTATCTATTTTCACAATTATATTTATAATATTTGAAAACATACAATATTTAAATTCTTAAATAAATAACATAGTCAATTAAGTCAATCAGAATTAATCATCATCCTCTTGAAGTTAATCTTCTGAATTGCAAACTGCATATATTGCATACGTACAAGGTATTAAAGCTGGGCTGTAACTAGTCTCCTTTAAAAAGTGTCAAACGTTTTTGGAAAAAAATCAGCAAAGAGTCTGGGGTTCGCTGAAGGCCCCAAGAAGCTATAGAAAAAATGGCGCAAAATCATGCATTATGCACGTTTCCCAGACCCTTTCTTAATCTGAAACGCAAGTTCTGTTTTATTTTTTTGACAATATTCTGGTCTCAAAGCAAAATATATAGATTCAGTGTAAGACTTTTAGTTTTTAGGGACAACATGAAAAGACCAATATGTAGGACAAAGCAAAAAATGTTTCAGTTTACAGAAAAACCTTTTATGCCTGTCAATTATGTTTTTTTTCAAATTAAGTTAAGAGGGGGCTGATTATCATTGATATAACTATGTCAAGTCAGTTTTTATAACACATTTCAATTACAACTTGATGTAGTTCCTAACTGGGATACAATTTAAAGTAGTTTGTAATAGACAAAAGGTCCTTAAGTATAATAAAACTCAAGTTTAAAACATAATTACTAAATTACAAATAGAATGCAACACTAAGAGAATAGTCATAAAGAAGGGC